TTTGTTAATTAAACATATATAAGTATTTAAGTCAAATACACGTTATGTTAGATTTAATATGCTGTATATCTAATTAAAATATTTCTATATGTTCAATTACCAAAATATAGTATTTAATTGAATAATTTAATCAAGTTAACAAATTTTTTTCAGTGTACGCACGATTTTCATAAAAAAGATTGTACAAAATAGCAATGATTAACTGATATTAATCTAGCGATGCTTTCAATTACAATATTATTAAATTGATTATCTCTAAGCTATTCTAAATATGCTTAGTGTTTTGTACGACATGTACACACGCGTATATATTATAAAAATTAATAGATTCATCAGACTTGACATCAATAAAGATATGAATAAAAAATTCTTCTGAGCAGATAATAATGTTTTCGTTATAATTAGGATAAAGTTTCATTAAGGATTACGGTGGACGTAAAAAAACATTCCCGTTGAAAATTGATAGAAAAGAAAGATATATATTAGCGAAAGCCGGGAGGAAGCCCGAGGTACCGTAAGATATCTCGGAATCATTTCACCGGATCAAAATTTAAGGTACGTCCCGACCGCGTCTCGAGCCCTCTCACCCCAGGAAATTATTTCTCGAAGGCACTTACGAAGGCGCTCACGAAGAAGTAATCGGACTCTGAAAATACCAAGCTGCACGCCGATAATGGCCGGTCACGAGCGAGTATGGCCCAAGGGTCTCTTTAGTCAAGAACAAGAACGTACATATGCGCGTAATAAGACCGATTTCTTTTGTTAATCGTATTTTCTATCGTACGGAGAGTACGATTGTATATTCTCGCGGTGTGCCTGCTGAAATTAGATCTCGTGATATATACGAATGAGAGATATCTCCTTGGAAGATAAATGAAAATCAACTCCTTTTCCATTTGTTTTCCCTTGCTAAGATACCAAATCTCACGGAAACGTAATTTACAGGTTTCTAGGGAGTAAATAACATAATGCTATACTTTTACTTGGAAAATAACGCGCGATATACACAGAAAGGCAATAATATCGATTGACAAATTAGCGTCGATTTTTTTCTGCTATCTCACCGCACGACGTGAAATTTACGGAGAGGCCGATATGCAACGAGTAAAGAAATTTAACATTGCGTCGCGCATATGCATACGTTATTTGCGGTCTTATGGGAGAGACGGAGAAGAGCATCCCAGAGAAGAGCGAGACGGGAAGAATAAACCGATACAGAGATACCGCATCCATGCGAAAGCCGACAGGCCAACAACTCTCGGAGGGGGCCTTCTTCTCTCGTAGGGGTGCTGGAGGAAGAGTTGGCTGGAATGCACTGAGAACAGGTCGCAAGGCTGCCGACATTCCGAAATTTGCAACGGCGCGAGGACCGGGAAAAAAACAGCTGGCGTATTGGCGAACATTGAACGCGCGCGAGCCAATTTTCGCAATCATCTCGCTTTAATCCGTCAATCTTACTTAAAAATACGCGAAATAATAATCCATTGAGATGCCAATAAATTAGAATTCATGTAATAATCATTTCTATTAAATTTTTCGTTTTATACATATATTTTGATTTCGATTTACATACGGAGAAAATTTTCTTTTAAAATTTATGAAAATTATGGTAATTGTGGAACAACATTTTATATATAAGAGTTTTTCTGAGTAAATATTTATCACAATAAAAAATATTAATATGTACATAGTAATTTTTATTATACATATAGTAAAATTAATCAAACATATTTTATATCTTATTGTAGTTGATATTAATATTTTTATTGTGATAAATATTAATCAGAGATACTCTGATAAAATTCTTCCGATATATCAAATTGTCCTACGATTACCATGATTCTCATAGGATAAATTTTAAGAGAAAATTCTCTCTATGTGTATACCTATATTCCTATGTGTATACCTGTATTCTAACATTTATAGTAAATATTCTGATATATGCGTATTTTAGATGAACATTTAAAATCAGAATTAATTCTTACGAAGATATCATATTGCACAGATATACCAAAGAAATTCATATAAGAGTCAATCCGTTGTATTATTATGAAATGAGATGGAGATGGAGTTGAAAGATAGCATAATCAATTTCGTCAATTGATGAAGTATTAAAAGAAACGGTAAAATGATGATCAAATATAAAGAAACGGGTTTCGCGTGCAGAAAAATTGCGCATTTGACAACGATTCTGCTGTCACATATTTTTTTCCTTCTGTCCACAGTATACTGTGCTATATGGTATACCATATAGCACGAATTAATTTCTAAGATTTTTATTACATTTTTATCCCTCTCCCCTTGATTTTTACGAGGCCATTCACTCATCAGCAAAAAGATTTCGCCGTAAATAAAAATCATATATGAGATGAAAAAAGCAGAACTATAAAGATTTCTTTCTCGTTCTGATGAATACGCGTACCAGAAGCTATATTTATGTATATCTACGATCGTGACACGGCGATATCTCATACGTAGAAAGACATAAGAACTTATTAAACATCGTTATTCTATTCTTATCGGTAGGAGCAATTAATTTTACGCTTAATAAATATAATAATAATAATACCCATGGGAAAAATAATACGAGTCTTCCTCTCTCCCAAGTTTCCAAGATTATCGCTTCTAAATTGTTATCGTATCAACATCAATTTATGTTTATATATAACACGGTTAAAAAAGGAAATCTCAAATTTTTCATGTATATATACTTATACGCATATGTACTAAAATCGCGTATGCAATATATGTATGATGTTAAGAGGCGCAAGCCGGTTCCAAAATATTCTTTTACTACCGAGCAATTTCTTTTAACGCGCCAGATTTTATAATACGCTCGCTTGAGACGTGCCCTTAAATTGCCGCGTAATTGTTGCTCGTTATGCGCGTGTGATTATACAAAGAATAAAAAAATGCGCGCGTACAAAGCAGCGCGAGATCGAAAGCAGCCTAAACGTCAAATTGCCGCGAAAAAAAAGAACCATACCATGTGGCAAGCGACCGCGCAGCAGCATGACTCTCAATATAATCGCGTCAAGCGGTAATATCCATCCTGTATGCAAACTTATGCGGCGTCTCGCGAACGCCTCGCGATCGTTATTATTTGTCTGAAAAAAAATCGCACCATTCTACCTATTTTCTGCGTGCCGGAACTGTTTTTGCACTTTATTACGTATATACATATCCTATACGCGACGCTCGTCTGGATTACGTAATAATTTAAACGGGACCCGCGCGTTGTGGTCGGGATACTAATAAACTCTCATTCTTACTTACATCGATCTAGAACGGTACGCAGCGATAGCTGGGGTAAAAGTTAATGAACCGCGACTATCGTGGTGTAACCAAGCCGGAAGATCGGATGTCACCTTGAAGGACAAAACGCGAGGACATAAACGAAATGCCCGTACGTAGGTCGCCGCGTTGGGTCTGCGAATGACGGCGGAACTTACATAACATCAATGTTCTCTATGTGTGTGTGTGAGTAACAGGTCCTCCGTTCCTTCTCTTCGCTCGTTCTCGATCTCAGGAAGGAATTCGAGCATGAGCGAGAAGGAGCAGAGTTGAATCAAACGCTCGAATATAAGAGAAAGAAGATAAAAAGAGATCACATCTCTCTAGAAGAGAGATATGAAAGGGAGAAAAACGAACCATTTATTATTATCTTATTGTTAGAATAAAAAGAGTCATTTCTTTCTTCCTCTCTATTTAAGAATTGAGAAGAGAATCTACACTGAAAAAAAATTTGTTAACTTGACTAAACTTTCAACTAAATTATTTTGTTAATTAAACATAAAAATATTTAAATTAAATAAAACAAACGTATATATTTCACTTAAATACTAATATATGTTCGATTAACAAAATAATAATTTAGTTGATAGGTTTAATCAAGTTAACAAATTTTTTTCAGTATATAATAAAGCAATACATGTATGAATAAAATACGAAATATGTAGGATTCGGAAACGATCTGTATAAGATGTCTTTCCAATAAGAATCAATTTTTGTTATTTATATCAAGTTGATTTTTCTGTAAGAAAAATATCGAGGCAGATCATTCTGCAATTTGTCGCATCTCAATCTTCATAATTAAATTTCAAATTCTATTAAAATAAATTCTATTAAAAAATTGTTATTTTGTTATGTTCTCCTAAAAGTTTAGTTTGTGGAAAATCCTGTTTTTCAATCAATTTTAATTTATTATATTATTAATTGCCTCTTTCATTCACGCAAGAAAATTCTATTTTAAATATCATTATATACAGATACATCCGATAATTTGGGATATTCTGTATAACATCACAATATAAGTAAATCAGGTACAAAATGGGGGGAAAAGTTGAAATCTATGCTCTGTGATACTGTCAATAATATATATACATATCTATAGATAAATGAATATAATAATTTGTTATAATTCGTTATTAAATTTATCGTTTCTCTATAAAATTTTATTAAAAATAGGTAGAAAGAATGAACTACCCTCATCAAGTTTTATTAAAAAGTTTCTTGCGTAAAACTATGCAATTCGCGCGAAATACAAATCGAAAATCTTGTTATATATAATACGTAAACGAATAAAATAATTAAATAATTCATTATAATAATTCACTATTAAAATTGTCATGTTTCTATAAAACTTTATTTAAAATAAGTAGAAAAATGAATTACCTTTCGGAAAAAGATTTAAAAAATTCCTAGATGCAAACAGTATCGAATATATAATATGCCTAATTGTCATGAACAAATTTCATTAAAGTTTTTTGCACGAAACTGCGCAGTTCATGTCAAATACAAGTCGAAATTTGTTCGTATCAATCTGAAACGTTCAATAACTACAACTACATTTGCATATATTTATGCAAACGGGAAAGAAGGAGAGGGCAGAAAGCAGAAGCGCTTGGTAGCGAAAGAGGAGGAGCCCGAAAAGAGAGCGAGGAAGAAGGGTTACACGGAGAGAGGACGGAGATAGTGGAAGTCCATCAAGCAAAACTCACCCTGTTGCATTCCAGAGCCTCCGCGCTGTGCTCCTCCTTCTGCTTGAAGCAGCTGCTGCACTTGCTCTTGTTGAATATGTTCGGCGCGAACTTCCTGCACTCGGCGCCGGTGCCGCGGACGCCGCCCGCCGTGCCACTCGACATCGCGGACACGTGCGAATTAGCCGGGATCTTCAGCCGAGACACAGCATCGCCTTCTTTCGTTTTCTCTCTCTCTCTCTCTCTCTCTGTTATCCTTCCAGCTTCCGCTTCTCTCGTCGCGCCTCTTCCACAAAATGTTCACACTCACACAAATGTCACTTTCACGTCACGCAGTCTTTCCTCCGAACGCTAGACTCTCTTTCGTCAATGCGAAAATCTCTTTCAGCGATAACGCACGCACTGCTCTCGAAGACGGAAGCCCCTCTTACGGGATCGCGAACGCCGGAGGTCGTTGACGTCGATCGCGCCGGTAATCTTCCGCGAGATTCACCGCCAGCTGTTCGGCTTCTCCGTAATGTCAACTCTCGATAGGTTTTTCGTCGAAGAGAGAGAAAGAGAGAGAGAGAGAAATCCGCCGTTCTTGAAAAACGCGAATTCCACGGTTAGAAAAACGCTGCTATTTTTTGCTCCTCCGTACGTAAGGAACACACCTTTTCACTCGCGGAAGCGACTCTGCAAACAACCAGTTCCAGTTCATCGATCTCAATTGACGCGGAATCCCGACTCGTCGTGATTCACGTCGTACACGACGAGATCGCGTCGCGTCGTGTTTACAATCCCGACACCGCGAACGAGCACCGGAGCCGTTCGTGCAACACACTCCTCATCGACTGTCAGTGCAATTCGAACACTCGCTTCGCCCCCACTCGGCGCGTACTTCACACACCTCGGCGCGGAACCTTCACGTATATCCCCTTCGATCGACGACGCGGCGCGACAGCCACGACCTCGCCTCTTCCGACACTGGTGGAAGCACGTGGATTTACGAAAATCCCGCTCTCGTGTCAAATGTCACGCGACTGTCAACAGAGATGCACCACTGACAAATTTGGGACAACTTCGTCACTCGACACAAAAATGACGCACGTGCAACTTCACGTAATTGACCAATGATATCTCGCGGATTCGGTAACGCCACTTTCAAGGCGAAATATTCGCGAAAGTATCCGATATCCGCGAACACCCGCGTATGTCAATCCGCTCCAATGTGTAAACACATGTATATATCGACGGAATAGAAACTCGTAGGTGCTTTCGCACGTTCGTTCACTCCCGAATAATGTCACACCGCCGCCGAGAGGAGAATCCGCGTGATCCTGATCCTGGAGTAGGACCTCGCGCCCGCGCGTTAATGACGCGCGATGACACACTACGCGATACACAACACACGACACGCGCACTTATGACGACGGCACGGCGCGTCGCGCTGCCCGTGACAGTACGCTCGCGCGAACGTCCATCTGCGATCTGGCCGCTGGCCCCGTTCGACTCCTGAGTTCGGAGTAGGATCTCGCGCGCGCGCTCCTACTCTCACCCGGCCGACCGCGCAACGCACTATGCGCCGCGTCACTACGCGCACCCGCGATGTAGTCCCTCGCGAGCGAGGCGCCGCGCATGCGCCATCACGCGGCCACCGCGCGAACTAACGACGCGCTTGCGCGCGCATTCACTCTACTCCGCCGCCGAGAGTATCTTGAAATTTTGCAATAAATCGCTATAAATATATATTGCCTCGCCAATGCCCGTTTCAATGATACATCTCCTACATCTTGTTTTTTTTGTATTTTTTAACGATATACGCGTCGTATTTTTGATCTCGCGACACGAAGAAAGCAGCTAAGAATGCAAATATAGGTCGATTGTCGGAACATGTTCCTCGAATTGTTTTACTCGCACTTTTACTCTTGGTTTCTTTCTTTCTGACGCGAATATTTCTTTGATTCTAAATCCGAAAAGCGTAGGAGGTAAATTGACTTACGTAGCTTCTTGAACGATGTATCTCGTAAAACGAATCGCGAGGTATATCTTTCAAATTCGAAGTTAAACAGAGAGACGACGCGCACTCGATGAAATCACAAGTGAAAAATATTCAAACATGGCGTATAAAGAAGTAAGATGTGCTAGTGCGCATGTATGGTGGCACCACTACTTTTTTACGTCATATAATACAAATTATATCAAGGAAAGCAAAATTCAATTAAATCTAGATGTCGCTTAGATAACGTTCATCACATCTCTTAAAATTTATATACTATATGATTTTTAATATTAGTTTAGAAATCTATAATAATATTTCGATCTATGACACATATATTAATATGAAAATAAATCAAATATTAACTTGAAAATTGGAAATGTACATATCATTAATTTTAATCTGTAAAAAATTAGCTAAATAACAATATTTCGAATATGTTGCAGAATATATTTATTATCATTCAATATTATTCGTAAGAGTAGCTATATCAAATGTAATATTTTGCATGTTTATTCCATAAAAATTTCATTAGATATTTTATTATCATCCATATGCATTGTTCTTTAATAGAACCTTGTTACAACGCTTTGCGCCTCTTGACACAAATTTGAATACAAACTCAATTATGGGGAAATGATCCAGCTTACCTTTCCGCGCGTTATTCGAGGCAGATATTTGCATCGAAACTTGGCTCTTGCCGCTAATGCCGCCATTTGGCCTTCGAGTACCGCCGTGTTCAAGAGAGAATCGAAAAGTGCTCGAACGACAACTCTGAAGTACAACTCGAGTCGCGCGAGTGACGGGCCCTCTATCAGCTGATTTTTGCGTCCGGTTCGACGAGTCATGCTTTTTCTTCCGGTCCGTGCAGACCGCCGTTTCAGTATCTGCGGGATCGACGTTGAAGATGGTAGATGAAGCTGGTGACAGGTTCGTATGCCGAATTCTCTCCCGTACTGTCCGTAAAATCCGACGTCCCTCGGACGACGGGAGTATCGGCGAATCGCGTCTCCGCTTTGCGATCTCCATCGCCGTCGAAGCAAAATTAACCTCAATATCAGCGCGGTTTGTCTCGCAGATTTTTCTTTTTCATAACAATAAAATCTCTCGCCACCGTGTATATCCGAGCCTAAATATTTCAACAAGCATTAGATCCTGGAATTTATGGTCGGGGTGATTCCGCGAAATGGAGAGAGCAACTATTCTTAGACGTGATTTATGTATCCGCGCTTCCTCGCAGCGGCTCGTGTAAACTGCTGTCACTTTCGCTGTCGTTCGTGTTCAAGCTTAATATATATATATATATATACATACATATATATATATTTTTATATATATGTTTTTCTTATTATTGTTTAATCGCTAATGAATCACGACGCCGAAATAAAAATACAGTACGCTGCTTTCACCGGTCTTGTGAAACGCGTACTTATACGACCAAAACAAACGTAACATTGATTAACTTAATCGATGTCTTACATAACATACAAACGAAAAGAATCCCGGAAAGCATTAGAATTTTTAATATTTTTCATTATGCGGCACTCAATAATATGTGCGTTGCATTTATTTAATACGACGCCCACAAGCAATAATCGAACAACGAAACTAACTTTATTATAGAAGAATTTTCGAACTTCGTTATAAAAAAATTTTATAGATATAGATATGTGCATAATTTTGGCACGTTGACGTAAGAATTACATAAATTTTGTGCACACAAATACACTGTAAAGTATAGTAATATAGAATAATTTCAAAGAATACAATATTAGATAATAAAAATAAATAAATATATAATTAAAATAAATAAATAAAATAAATAAATATATAATTAAAATAAATAAAAATAATTTATGTATTCTCTTTTTTTATAGAGATGAGTCCTCTAATGTTGCCATTATCAGAGAAGTATATGACAGTGAGAACGCTCATGAGACATTTGAATATGAGTTAGAAAGAGCGTTGGAATCAGAATGCAGTTTAATTGTTATCGAACCATCGAAATTAGGTGATGAAACCTCTAGATGGATAGCAGTGGGAAATTGTCTTCACAAGACCGCTGCACTGTCAGGTCTTGGTGCAATCGTCACAGGTTTGCTTTATAATTTATATAAAAATTATTTGCATATAATTATTGAAATAAATAATATATCTGATGTGCGTGTGCTCTTTTTTTTTTTAGGATTACTCTGGGGCGATCGACCATACATCTGTGGTCCACTAGGTTTTACAGCAATCATAACCTGTGGATTATATACAGTCTCTTGGCAATTTGATCCTTGTTGCCAATATCAAGTAGAGACTGATACCAGCAAATTACCACACGTAGAGCTATTAGCTGTTCTAGGTCCTTCGTCTCCCACGTTTCTTGTCAGGAAAGATGATACGAGGAGACGAATTCTTCACACAACTATTACATTGGCAGCTCTCAGCATTACTGCCTGGAGAGTGTACCAGGCGTTTAAGTGAAAAAGTTATTACTGGCATAGATTTTGTCTTAAGCCAGAATGAAATAATAAGGTAAGCCACACACTATATCCAAGTTTCACAATTGTGAATCAAAACTTTTTAATTAATAAGAATGCAAACTCTGAGTTTATTTCTCTTTTATCTTCATTCCTTTGATACTACTCACAGGTGAGTGCTGCTTATGTGATCTGACTAAACTACATAAATGCAAGTAACAAAAGCCAGATTTTATCCAAGTTTTTACATTGGCATGTCATTTCTTTAAGATTTTACATTGTTATTCTTTGATCTCCACCTTGAAAAAAAAATTGTGAAAGATAACTATATTACAAAGTTGCAAAAGCCATATATATATATGTGCAGTCTCTGTACTGGAGGAAAAAAAAGATATTGACATAAGTGTTCTTAGAATTATGAAATTTGCAACGGTACATATGGATTTAGCATTATGTATTTTTAGATTGTAAATATAAAATAGGTAGAGAGAGAATAAAAAACACACACAGTACATATGATATGTCAAAGGGTATATTGCCTAGATTTTCTCACCCAATAGAACAATCTATGTTGAAATGATATAATATCAGAAGAATAAGTTGACCACAAAATTTAATGTATTTTTTAGGCCTTGATTATTTTATTAACCATAAATATATGTAGAGTAAGATATATATCTTTTTCATCGCGCGTATAAAACTTTTTATCATTTATATTAGTCCTATCAAATAGAAGTTGATGTTACATACATTCCTGTAAATGTTTAATGATAATAAAAGCTAAAATCCCCTGTACATTATACAATATGTGAACTCTTTTCACATAACAAAATTTTATAGTCACATGAACAAGAAACTTCCTCGTTTATATGTACATCGACAAAAGGGCTCAAAAAATGAACAATGTATATAGTTCTGAATATTGTTTTAACAATATTTTAATGATAAGTATTACAAATCAAGATTGAAATAATCAGAATATATTTTCAAATACTGTTGTATTATTGTATGTATTATGCAATGAGTATGCACAAAAGTCGGAGAAACAAGAGGGATAAGATCAATTGTATCTAAAAATCCATTTGGATTTTGTTCTAAAGAGTTCTATTTTATACACAAAGCATAGAAAAATTTATATTTTTATTACTTGTTTCTCTAAATATACTTGATTATAATATTAATAAAATATTTTAGAGACAAAGTCCATTGCACATATAAAAAAACTATTATTAGAGCAAAGAATGCAGTCCTTTTCAAATATGTAAAACTTCTCAATATACATCAAATGTTGTATACATTTGTATGTATAATACAGTTACTATCAACATATTATGTAAAATGTGATATTTTCACATGAAAGTATGTGTGATCATTTGATGAAGTTTAATATTACATTTAATTTCTCTTTCTCATTTAACATAATTTTTATTATATGTACTTTTTTTACACATAATTATTTCATTATATAAAGAGTAGAAATAAAACCATAATACAAATGTGTGATCAATATATACAAAGATTTTGCAAATTAAAATGGCTAAATCAGTTTCATGACAATAGATTATATTGCAGTAGACATTCTCTTTTTCACAGGTTATTATATTTTAAGTAAGTTTATACTGTTTACATTAAATAGAAAAATTCAATGAAGTGTCAACAACATAAAGTAAACGATCATTTTAATAATATATATTGAATAGTACCTTAAATATATGTGGATGTGCCATCTTTCTCTCTCTCTCTTTCTCTTTCTCCATTACTCTTAGAAATTATATAAAATATTTAATATTTAATTATATAAAATATTAAATATATACATATGCTATCCTTTTTTTAATAGTCTACAGGAGATTATGTTTTTATATTAAAAATGATAAAAGAGCAACATGAAACAAAGAATTATTAAATTATTTTATAAAATTGATTCTTATTTAAAATTTAAAATAAATGGAATTTCTATGAATTGATGTCAAGAGATGGATAGCACATTCGTGTAAACATCTCCGCGTCAGATTCAATTACAGTTTCATACTAAGGAGCTGTGTACATAATGTAAAGATATTCCACTAGTCAGGAAGTGGCTACCACAAAAATAAAATCTACTTTTCAATAGTATATCTTATTTAACTGCTATTCCCTACTGTACAAAGATTCTAGAAATAATACACTCACAATTACTTAAAATTATATATATTCTTTATTCATATTATACTGTAAATTAAAACTTTAATATTTTAAGATATTTTTTAAATATTTATACAAAAGAAATATATTACACATAAATCCATCTCAATAAAACAACAATCAATCAATTTATCTATTTTTATAATTAAATAGTTTTTAAATAATATTTATTCTATTCAAGTTTTTTTGCGCGATTTTTCATAATCCAGAAGTAAAGTGAAGGAAGTAAAGTTCTAAGTACTATAGCAGCCCTTGGGGAAATTGGTGCTATAGTAACTTCTGTCTCTTGCTTCACTACAGACTTTACAATACGTTCAGCTACATATTCTGGTTCATAACCATTCTCAGTTGTTTTGTCCATCACTACATAATAAATTAATATCTGGATTAAATAGAAAATATAAAATTATTAATTTAGTACTTTTATAATATTTTAAATACTAACATCCGTAAGTTTCTCCATCGTCTTTTAAAGCATTTAGAGAAAGTGATGTTTTAATGTACCCCGGATTAATGACAGTAAACTTAATATTTTTGTCCGCTAGTTCTGCTCTACTGGTATCATACCAAGCTTGTAACGCATGCTTAGATGCAGCATACGCGGATCTAAAAATTTTCAAATATTGTGTATGAATAACATAAGTCAACTTAATTCATAATTGATATGAAAAACAAATTGATATTGTGATTTACAATTAAATACCTAAATGGAATAGCAATTCTCCCTTGCACACTACTTATACCAACTATATGACCAGATTTTTGTTCTATCATGTATGGAAGAATAACTGCAAATCAATAATGAATAATGAATTTCTTACAGCATTAGAATTTTTTTATATAATACACTTACTTTTGCTCAATGCAACTTGAGAGAAATAATTTGTCAGCATGATTTTTATGTCTATATCAACATGAGTATTAATAACTTTGCCTCTATATGAAATACCAGCATTATTTATTAGAACATCAATTCTGCCATGTATCAATATGATCTTTGACACTTCATCTTTCATGTTATTAATATCAGTTAAATCCAATGTCAAAATAACAGGTGGATGAGTTGGAACTGTCTAAAGATTAAAAAATTATTGATACTCTGTACATTAAAATAAATATTGTAGAACTTACTTTATAAGACTTCATCAAATCATTTTTTACTCTCTCTAATTCACATTTTCTACGAGCTACCAAGATGACTCTACAACCACAGCGGTAGAATGCATGAGCCAAAGCTTCTCCCAAACCAGAACTAGCGCCAGTAATCATTACCACCTGAAAATTACATTAAATAATATATAATTATAAATATATTCGAATCTTCATTATCTTTAATTATTAATATATATTTAAAAAAATATTTTATTCGTATCATGTAATTATATTTTCTATTCCCTTGAAAGAAATGTAAAGATGTACAGCAATATAACAAAAAAAAATATATTACCTTATTTTTAAGACCTGTTCTTTTCCATTTTTGATGCATAATGTTAATAAAATGATAAATCAGCCAAGGAATGGTTATTGGAAAACCAAATAATTTAATCAACAAGGATACAATGTACCATCCTCCCAAAGATTCTTCCTGTCGTATAATCTTCATTTCTATATCACAAGTTTTGATCGAATAATCACAAAATTTTATATGCGCATTTAGCTATAAATTTCTAATCCGTTACAAATGTTAAAGAATTATTTTTAACATATATTCGTATATACTTTTAATCACACATTATTATCAGTATTTAATTTGACATTGACAGAGAGAGAGATATGCATAAGCTCTAAAATTGTTTTTCCAGACAAATAAAGGAGAGAAACCCATTATTTCTCTCTGCAAATAATACGAACGAAGTTGGTCGCGTTTCGCTAGGAACATTTCGTCCCCCATTCTTCAGTTGCCTTTCTGACGCGTTCGTTATCGCGCAACTTCAGATAATACCCGACGTGGGGTTCTGCTTTGCGAATAACCTCGCAGTATCACAATTTACAGTCCGCACAGAGTGTCTTTTTTTTAGTCATCTTGAAATGTAATTCGAATAATTCTTTTTATCCGCTCGCTCTTTATCTCTAAATAACGTCAAGAAAATGTGTATTACATTAAATGTCACATAGTATATAAAAGTAATCTCTCTTTCTGTGCAGGACGATATTGGACCCAGGCATCTCGCAGAACGAAGGAGAGAATATATTTTATTCATCGACCGCAAATCGTGCATGATAATCGTCCGTGACGCGGTAATACAATAGATCAATCTACGAAATAAATAGCACGACAGCCTGACTTGTCCGCAACCGTTGGGGCCCAACTTAACCTACAAGAGTCAGGTTGAGGTGAAACTAGGTTTCCTCGAGCGTTGTCTCGTGCGTGTCACAAATACGTCTTGTATTGTTGTAATGTTGACGGGACGTAAGTGAACGGCAAATGAAATGGAAACTCACGAGGGCGAGCAGTATGTGACATTTCCACTCGACGGTGTGCACGATGCCATACAGGAGAATATGATATCCCACGAGGAGATATGCGAGCCCGTCGAGTGCGTCGACGAATGCGTTCTCCAGGAGGAACTCGCGGAAGTCCCGGTGAATAACTCTAGCAACACTGACATTGCTGAGTCGCAGGATGCTGTTGAAATTCTTACGGAACAGTCTGACGAAGAGGAGGTGGTGTATCCGATGTACATCAAGCAAGAGGAACAGCAGCAATACACGTCTGGTGACGACGAATCCATGGCTGTGGAAGCTTTGCGTCAGTTGGGTGGTATGTATCCTTGCTTCGAGAACAAGAAAGTCAGCTGTCTGATCTGTAAGTGTCTCTTTACTGAAGAAGAGATGGTTGAGCATCGATCGGTATGTACAGCGTCTAAGCTATCCTGTACTGTTTGCGGAGAGAGATTTGAAAGGAAGATCGATCTGAATAATCACATGGTGTGTCATCAGGTGGATCGTCCTCACGCATGTAGAACGTGTGGTAATTTATTTCGTTCTAAGAGCAGTTTGCAAGCACACATGCTGCAGGTACATCAAGTTGAACGTCCACACAAATGCACCATCTGCGGCTCAGACTTCCAGAGACCCTCTAGCTTGTCTAATCACATGAAGATACATACTTACGTGGCGGGACGAGCAATCATGCAGTCACAGGGGAACAATATGTCCCAACCAACGGAAACGTTCAGGAAGTGGTCGGAGAACGCATCCGATTCGCAAAATACGTCTCAGATGCCATCCTCTTCGTCTGTTCAATCTATACAGAATTATGATGTGTGTCAGGTTCAATGGCCGGTCTCGTCGTACAATTTTCATAACGAACAATCGACAGTTACCGCAATAGCGAATCATCAGGAGAAGATGGATACTCTGCAGGAATTCACTGTAATGCCTAATGGTGAAGTAACGCAATTCGAGTACACTGAACAAAATAATATCGGTAATCCAGTCAACAACAGTCAACAATATGATATATCGATAAACTCGTTTAATACTCCGGACGGAATAGTTAAAGTCGAGACACTTTCGTATAATAACGCGAATAGAAAAAATTACGGGGAAGCGGAAACAAACAGCGGTAAACAGTACACGTGTAAACATTGCGGAATCAATTTTACACGCGCGACTGCGTTGGCATCTCACGAGAAGATTCACACTTCCAAAAACTGGAACATGCCGATCGAGTGCGAATATTGTGACAAACAGTTTCAAGATGGGAATCACTTGGCGAATCATCAGACCACCTGCGCCAAGAAGATAATGCAGAACAACATAGAGCAAGGCGTGCCCAACAACAAGTGGGGCAAGCACGCTTGTTCCGAGTGCGGAAAAAAGTTCACGACCAAGCAGAAGATGTTTCGCCATCAGTGGATCCACCGGAAGAAGACACACTCGTGCGAAGTGTGCGGTTCACAATTTGAGAAGCAGAACGAGCTGGACGAGCATAGACTGTCGGCGCATCCTGGAGACTCGCCGTTCACTTGCGCCGAATGCGGAAAGAGCTTCGTGTCCCGACAAGGTCTCTGGGAACACGGAAGAACGCACGCTGGGAGTCCGGCGCACTTTCAATGCGACACCTGCTCGAAAACCTTTTCGTCTCGCCAAGGATACTTGATACACAATCGTACGCATACCGGCGAGCGACCGTACGGCTGCAAGTTTTGCTGGAAGGCGTTCCGGGATGGCGGGACCTTGAGGAAGCACGAACGGATCCACACCGGGGAGCGACCGCACGTGTGTCCGTTGTGCGCGAGGGCATTCAATCAGAAGGTAGTCTTGCGCGAACATGTTCGGTGGGTTCACGCCGCGGGAAAGAACGAGACGGAAGCGACCAGTCCTCCGTATCCTTGTCCTTTGTGCGGTGCTCTTAATCAAGACCGCGACGAGCTCTGCGCGCACATCGTTAAGCATTCGGATCAGATGATAGCCGAAGCAAAGGCGAAGACTAACAACGACGCCTCTGCGAAGTCGAAGCCAACGAAGAAGAAATCAGCCAAGTCGTGCAACGCACGGATAAAGCAAAATTCCTTGGACCATTTCATCTCCAAGACGGAACAGAATGAAGCCTTGTTATCCATCACCGATACGTCTGATAAATCGGACGATTTGCACGGTATGAACGAGAAGCAGAGCAACGCCTACGTCGTGGTCACCACGGAGAAACGTGGCGATGGCTACATAGCGATATCCGAGCTTAAGCACAGCAATATACGGTTCATCGTGGAAGGTAAAGAAGATGAGAACATTCACGTACTTCAAGTGGATCAGAATTCTCACCGGAATTCTCTCAATATGATTGCTATGGATAAGCAAAACGACGCGGTACGTATCGTGTCTGAAACCGTGGATAATGCGCTCGGCGAAACGATCAGGCAAAATAATATATCTACGATGCACTTAATTCAATCTTCTAAACAGAACAATACTCTAAATATAATATCGAAGCAGAACGAATCGCTACCTGTTTTAGCGATACCGAATCCCCAGAGCCACGAAAATTATTCCAGCCAGATCATACAAGTGAGCAGTGAAGATATACCTATGGATGTACTGACCGATCAAACCTTGAAAGAGGAGAGAGATCAGGATGAGCAGGATACTTTAGTAGGAACATCTCAGGAAGGGACATCTCATGTTATCCAAGTTGTACAGTATCACCAGCATGATAGTGATGACGGAGAGGATTTTACTTGCGAGATCTGCGAAGAAACTTTTGCTGACAAAAATATGTTGAAAGAACATATTAAGGTTCACATATAATTACCACCGTTACCTTGTTGTTCATTGCATTGCTTGTGATATTGCACACGCTATTAATGCGACTCTGTAGAAAGTAAAAAATGTACATAAGACAAATTTACAGTAATCCCTTGCCGAGAAATTCACAGAATTTATTTATAGGCTATTTATATGCAATATTTTTAACAAGATTGGTGTTATGTACATTTGTTACAAAGTTGACACAGATTCAGTTCATAAAACATACACATTTTAATTACATAAGATATACATATCTAATTTAATTTAAAAAAAGCTATAATTAAACGTTATATGTATATTTTTTAAGTAATTAAAAAATACATGTAACGTTTAATTATATTAAACCTTTTTCTAATTTTTTTCAGTGATTTGTTTTATTTATGTTTTGGACTAAAATATCACATTATTTAATGATTCATCACAATGCAGTTAAATATTTACCATAAAAATGTGAAAATTGATTTTAGACATAATTTGAGATAGAAATATCAAAACAAGAAACTATTATAAAAATATTTAAATAGTCTCAGATAAACAAGTGTTGCAAACACAAAAGCATATTCTGTTAACATCTCTTTTTATGTCAAGAAATTACTGCTATGTCAAATTAATATATCAATTTTAATCATACTTTATATCTTTATTTTTAATTTAACACATGATGGAAAGAAAAGATATTTTTTTTTAAAGGAAATCATCATGAATCATAGACTTTTAATTAAATGTTTTTTTTTTTAATTATTATTTATAAAAAGATACTATTATGTTGCAATAATTATTATTTATGAATGATTACATTGTCTCATCTTTAATTTCTACATGTTTGTAGGACGATGAAATTTTAATAATTAATAATAGATAGCACAAGATATACATGTCCTTCGCTTTCTCCAGGACATTAATAAATATTACAAGTTACTTTCATACATTTAGGTAATATACCTATATATGTGGTAAGATAATTTTAAAGAATGGATTGTGTGTGTACATCAAAGTATGATACATTCTTGAAAAAAAGTTACATATCGTGAAAACATAAATAAGATCTACAATCTACGCGACATGTGTTACAGTTTTATATATATTTCTGTTTGTGCAACTTACGTTACCTACAAAAAGTCATATCCAAGTAGAATGATATACTGAAACTGTAAAATATGAGGTGTGCAATAAGAAAATAAAGTGTACTTTATTTTATAAAACCATCCATTATTTATTTTAGTATATATATTCATATATATTGATAAGAGTCTAATTACATCTCACCATTATATATCATTGCATTATTGTATATCATAAAATTATAATTATAATTAAAGTTGATAACTTAGGAGCAACAAAAGAAAGTATAAAATAAGTGCAAAAATATAACACAAAATTTAAAAAACATATATATATATATATATATAAAAGTTGTTATATATGTTGTTATATATATTGTTATTTATGTATATGTGAGTAAATAATTTGTGTGTGTAGCTACGTTTAGCATGTATGAAACGACCAATCACATGTTCGAACGTCAGAGATACGTCACGTTGTTGCGTTTGAACGATTGATCGAGTTTTCTCCGCGCATATATCACTTTCTCCGACGCGACTGTTAAAAATCCATTTAAAACGAGTCACTAAAATAAGGAGGAAATAAAAAGAAGCGAAACATGGGACGGTGAGTGACAGCTGAAACAGATTTTCTTCGAGAAGAACATGGAAACATTGAAGAAACCAGGAATCGCGCGCAATCACGTGTCCTCGCCGGTAAGCAACAGTGCAGTTTTTCGCAAACAGTCGTCGAGTTTGGTCACGTTCTCCTTCGAAATTTTTAGGCGAAGGTGTATTATTTATCGTCCCGAGTCTCGCTGGTGATTCTACTGAGGATCGAAGATACTTTGAGGAAAGGACAAACTCGCGTCTCCGTTTGATCGCCGAAATTATCGCATTCTTCAAGGTAAGAAAATCGAGCGAGGTAAGATGATCGAAATGAGCACCACTGCGATGTTTATTTACAAAAATATCTCGTCACGAAACCGCATTTATGTCGTTTCTTATTATTCATTGATCTACAATAATATCCGTATATATCGCTTAATGTGATGGATTTCCTCGGAATTGCCGAAATAATTTAGCGCGTCGTGAGACTTTAACCTTAAAAACGTTAACCTCCATTTGAACGCCGCTTCCGCGTCTCGAGAGACGTGTTTTGACGTAAGATACATTTTTATTATCGCTCAGTGTAACACGAAGCTCGTCCTTCATTACTGGTGATGCTCATTGACACCAGTAATCAATTTTGCGCGAATTACACGCTGCAGAGTTTTAATTTTCAAGAAGATCCTGATCTGAAATCGCACGTGACATCTTCGAGGTTATATTTATATATACGCCAATATTCCAGTAGAATATCCTTGGATTGAACGTCTCGAAGCTCTTGTGGATGACGATCGTAATAACTCCTGCAGAAAGGAACATTGTAACAACATGCCCACGTGGAACCAGATTCAGGCTCAACTGCGAAACCCCAACAACCCGGTTGTCTTCTTCGACGTGTCGGTGGGCACCACGGAGATAGGTCGTATGATCTTCGAACTGTTTGAGGATGTGTGCCCGAAGACGTCGGAGAACTTCCGGCAATTCTGCACTGGCGAATACAGGAAGGATGGAGTTCCGCTGGGTTTCAAAGGTGCCATCTTTCACAGAGTGATCAAGGATTTCATGATACAAGGTGGTGATTTCGTCAACGGCGACGGTACCGGGGTGTTGAGTATCTACAGTGGTGGAACATTCCCAGATGAGAACTTCACTTTGAAGCACGACTCCCCTGGTTTGTTGTCTATGGCCAACAGCGGCAAAGATACCAATGGCTGTCAGTTCTTCATTACGTGTGCCAAGTGTAACTTTTTGGATGGCAAACACGTAGTCTTTGGCAGAGTAATCGATGGATTACTTGTTATGAGAAAAGTGGAAAATGTTCCTACCGGACCAAATAATAAACCAAAAATTCCAGTTACGATATCTCAGTGTGGACAAATGTAGTAATAATGTTATTTATTTATATTTGTACGACATATTCATTTGTGTATTACATTATATTGATATAATTGTACGTGCCTGCTCAAAAAAAAAAAAAGAAAAAAATACATGAAAGTAAAATTTGTATTTTATGTAAAATTTATTATATATTTATATACTACATTTATATTTAGAATTAGAATTATATACAAACATAGTCTTCTCTTTTGTTCGATGCAATAATTTTACATGTATTCTTCTAATTCATTATTATATACAATTTTGAATTTTTGTCCTGATCTTCGTCTGGAATGATTTAATTCCATATATAAGAGTTTAAAAAGATCTACAGCATTTATATAATAATTTATATGTATAAAATATTAGTTACAATTTTATTTTAATTTCTTTTTCTTTTATTTCTAGACATTTTTAGGACATAATGTCTGTAATTTATATTGAAAAAAACTTAATTATGTTATCATATATTAATTGCATTTTCTTGCTATTACTTTCATAAAAAGTAATATATCAAAAGAAGAAAACATTTACAATGGAATAAAATAAAAATCATGTTAAACAATTTTTAGTACATTTAATAAATTGCTACTTTATTACATCCAAAATATACATTTGTGAGTATACTATAATCTTTAATATTTGTTTAATATTTGCATATTTGACTATTAACAAAGATTTATCAAAAATAAATGTTTACAAAATTTATATGTTTATTAGCTAAAATTATAAATGGGTAAATATTTAAAAAAAACTCAACTTTTACGAACTTTACTTTTATTATTAACATCTGTACATGTGAAATAAATATTTTTATAATCACTCTACATATCTTATGTTTATAAGATAATATAATCTTGATTAATACTTTAATTTTTTGTTTTTATGAATTCGAGATTGATTATTAATTAATCAAATCAAAATAAATTATTGGAGTTGTTCATACATATACATTTATATATTTGTATCAGCATCGATTCGACGAGATTCAAACTAAATTTATTAATCTACAATTGTAAATCTTTGAATTTGCAAATATTATGTGTTTCTCCAAACTTTATTTCATAACTTTCTCGCTTGTTTCTTATACATCGTAAGGATTATATACAATTATTCTTAAATTTAACTCTATTTCCATTGATCGATGTGATACCGGTCATACAATTGTCCAGTCAATTATATATGAATATATTGATTATATCCACGATCTCCCCTCCCCGAAAAATTCTAATATAATTTTATTATTACACTACATAGTGTCTCAAAGCTAATGTACATTTTTTTCAAATGTATTTTATAATTTAGGATTTTTTAATAGACTATTGGATATATCACAATGTTTGTCATGCTAACTTATAATCGATTATAACAATATTAAACAATACCTTTTTATTAATTGTTTAGTTCTCTTTAATTGAGATGAAAATTATGAATTTATATCAGAGATTTAAAATAAAGTACTTTTTGAATATAAATAATTAATGCGTATCAGCATTATAACGCATCTCCCTTTGCGTAGTCTGTAGTATTAACGGGAGAAAATGCTGAAATTCTGATATACTCACAGTATATATCGAGACCAGTATAGTTCACTGTTAATTCACGCATAAATTTATTGAGATCGATATTTATATATTACTCACCACGGCTTTTATATATTACTCACCAGCGTTTTTATATAAAATTATTGGAATCCGTACATACATCGGCAGTCATTATCACATGTTACATATGTACAATGATTCATCTCACTATTGCTTCTTCTATACAGACATATATATATATATATATATATATATATGTATAAATCAAAATAAATCACGACTATACGTTAACTATACGCGTAGTCGCCTCTAAAGCTCATTTTAAATCATTCATAACTCGAGACAAAATTTTTGTACGTACCACAGAATTCTATCTATATTTTCAAATATAATTATATAATTATAATTATTTTATATATTTTTAATGATATTCTCTTTATCTTATAATAAATCTTTATCTTTATATAAAAGACTTCATAAAAAAGAAGAGACATTTTATATTAAATCGCATATTTTTGACTTATAATTATGTGTATAATTGTATATAGATGTGCATTTATAATAATTTTTTTAATCGAATTCTGTCACGAATTACGAATTGCTTAAAATATGCTCTCATCCTATGTCGCAAAAATTTTTTGCTCAGCATTACATGCGTTATCGATACATGTCGCCACGAAGAATCACTCGTGCTCCAAAAACATACGATGGATTCATCGTCCACAATCATCTCGAATGGCATTCACAAATTTTTGATCATAGACAAATGACTTGACTAAACACTTACGTGGCGATGCCATCGATATAATAATCGGTCCTTGTCGACAAACACGACTTCGGGAATCAGAAAGTTGATGACGGCGGGCCGTCGCAATTCCACATCACACGGCTGTGTAACGAGGGCCCTTTTTATTATTATCATCTACGTCGTCCCGAGTCGGCGCCGGAGACCGTCATCGACATCGTCACGATCTAAAATTAAATTTTTTGAAATTTATTAATTCAAGAAAAAACTTTATTATATACATATATTTATATTATAATATGTACACACGGAGAGAATTTTCTCTTAGAATTTACCCTGACAATCATAGTAATCGCGAAACAATTTTATAAGTATTTTATTAGAGTTTCTGATTAATATTTACCACAATAAAAATCTTACTATGTACATATTAATATTTTTTTATTGCGGTAAAAATTAATCAGGAAAATTCTTATAAAATTCTTTCAACACTTTATTGTCTCGCGATTACCATGATTTTTAAGATAAATTCCAAGAGAGAATTCTCTCTGTGTATACATTATATATAATATAAATATAATAAAGTTTCTATATAATATTATACATATATAATTATATATTATTCGAGAATTATTTTATCATAAAAAGAAGAAACGAAGAAAATAAATAATAATTACACTAAAGATAGCAATAAATAAACAGAGAAAGTGAAAGGAAGACAGAAGAACATAAAAGAAAATAACAAAGAGAAAAAAGAATAAATAATCGATGGACTATTGATAGACGCTCAATACTCCAAGAAAAATAGCAGTACCTGCTATTGCAGAAACGATCATCGTCGATGGTATCGACCTGCGAGTTGTCATCGACGACCATGATGGGCGTCGCACCATCGTGTAGACTAGACTTGGAGATGGATCGCTTGTAGGCATCTCTGGTAACACTCCTGGTAAAACTGAACTTTCGGACGAGTTTCTTGTCGAGAGCGGCCGGACTCTTTGGACCCTTCGCTCTGTACTCATCTTCCGTGCCCTCGTAGTGCGCCAGCATCACTTCCGTGGCATGTTCCTCGATCACGTTTAACGCATAATCGATATCATCTTCAGTCGCATCCTCTTTCGTCACACAAAAACGCAGGATATATTTGCCCATTACACGGGCCGGTATCATGTGCAACCGACCGGATGCGTTGATGTTGGCCAGCAGCTCCTGATTCATTTCTTCGCTCTCCCTCAATCGAAAACACACCAGGCCGACCCGCACGTCGTTCAGGATCTCGAAGCGCCTGTCTTTCTTCATCTGCGCCTCGAATCGCTTCGCCAATCTTATGTGATTCCTGATGTACTTCTGTAAACCGCAGATACCGTACGATCTCATGACGAACCAGAGCTTCAACGCCCGAAATCGTCTGCTAAGAGGGATGCCCCAATGACGATAGTCGATCGATTCTGAGGAGCGAGCGTGTTGAAGATAAAGCGGATCGACGACCAACGCCGACGTGAGCTTCATTCGATTACGCACCCACAGACAGGAACAATCGAAATTCACCAACAACCACTTGTTCGGATTCGTGTTGAAGGAATCAGCGTGCTCGATGCCGGCCATGAACGGCCTCATTTCCGGACAGATGAAGGCGTTGCCAGCGTAAGCGCCGTCCACGTGGAGCCAGATGTTGGGATAGAGCTTGCAAACAGGCCCGATCTCCACGAGATCGTCAAAGGCGCAGGAACCGGTAGTTCCCAGAGTAGTGGATACGTAAAACGGGACCAAACCATTCGCCACGTCCTCCCTGATCGCCAATTCGAGCCGTTTACCGCGCAAAGCGGCCTTCTCGTCGGGCTCGAGCACCCGCAACTTCACCAGGCTGATCATCGCCGCTTTCTCAACGCACGAGTGCGACTCCGTAGAGCAGTAGGCCACCAATTTCGGCAGGAACGCCGAATCCTCCGTATTGGGTTCCTGCTCCTTCAGCATCTTAATCACCTGCGTGCGCGCCGCCAGCATCGTCACCAGGATGCACTCGGAGGCCGAGCCCTGAATCACGCCACCGCCGCTCTTCTGCTCGGACAGGAACTCAGGTGGCAAGTCGATCGCTTTGGCGTACCAATCCAACACGATGGTTTCAAGTTCAGTACAGGCTGGACTAGCCGCCCACGAGAAACCGATGCAGCCGATCGCGTCTGACAGCAAATCACCGAGGATCGAAGGGAAGGAATTGCCAGACGGGAAGTAGGCGTGGAATCGCGGATGCTGCCAGTGAGTGATCTGCAAAAAGCATTGTTTTCGCGTACCAGGATAAGTCGGGTAACCTACTTTATGTTTTGAAATTGATTTATCCATGAAAAGAATGGGATGAAATGGCGGAAATACCGGTTGACAGAAACAACTCCATTGTCACCGACGATAAAAACGTTGCATTGGATTAAGAACGGACTTTGCGGAAGCGGAGTTTGCGGAAAAAGTCGCGCGATACATCGTTTCTCGAAGCTGTTGTCTTCTTCGAAACTATAAAGATCGAAACGTTGTGACGTTGCTGTTGTCCTTCAATTTTTCAACCGGCTGAATACTCAGCTGACTGTATATATTGTCACTGAAATTACTTTTACTTTTAAGAATCTATTCTATCTCATTTGGTAATTTATAAGACTTATATTTCGTCATACTCTAAATATCACGTTAATTCTGATATTGAGAGATATATGTTTTTTAATCAACAATTTTCATTGAAATTTCCATTAAAATTTACATCTTACAATTAGACATATATTTTAAATTTTGAATGAAAATTTTATATATACCGTAAATTTTCTGAGATAATTTTCTATGACATCATATTATAATTTGTGTGTGAAAATTTGTTATTGTTTAAAATTATCGTACTCCTAGTAATCGTACTCCTACATGGTTTACATAATACACGTGTTTTTCTATCACGGCACTAGACCTTAACTTTTGTTCAACTTTTTCAAAGGGCATATATCTATGAAACAAACTTTCCGTTAATGCAAAATACGACTCTTATCTATCGAACGTCATGTCATCAGTTTTGTAAACAGCCGAGAATGAGAACGGCAAGGCGATAGAATCTTATCTCTTTTTTTCTCTCTCTTTCACGTGCACGAATATTATTTATATCGGAAGGGGAGAAGGGAAGGGTTGAAATCAATGGCGGGGGAGAGAGAAGGGGAATCGATAATCGCAGATAACTCACTCCAGGCATTATTTTGCCGTCGACGTCCCTCATGATGGCGTCCCATGATTCCGGCTTGAAAGGCGCCTCTTTCGGCATCAGGTGTCTTAGATAGCCGGGATCGACGTTCGCCGTCACCCTTTTACCCTCCAACGTCCGGATATACTCGCAGATGTACTCGATCATCTCCTTGCCGCGCACACGAAATTCATCGATGTTCATGATGCCAGAATAAAAAACCCCCCTCGGCTGAAAAGTAGCGATTTTCGTAAGGACATGCGTGTCGGGGACAGACTGAGCAAACGCTCGCCTGATTAAACACGCTTGATTATACATCGCGTGTGTTCGTGACTTTTTTTAACATTTCTATCAACACGCCGATGCGCCTGTTATCCTTCTATATTTGCTTTAGAAAAAGATCAATTCTTCCGTGCTCTTGCGAGGATTCTTCGCGGCGAATTAATTCTTTCGAGCAAAAGGAAATGTGCTATCGGCGAATACATCTAATAATAATCCGCGAAAGTATTATGAAAGTAATGTCGCGGAATGCTCGTGCATTCAATTAATTACACACGAGGTATCACGTCATAAATATTACAGCAACTTCGAGCAAAAACAAAGACCAGATATATTCTGCTCTAATTTTGTATATTCACGAATATCTAAATTCCAGAATATTCTGTGATTTCAAAACGTAAAGATGTAATCGGGTATTTTTATTATCTCCTGTCAATAGTTTTCATCTTCAATTCATATTCTTTTGTTTAATAAATAAAACGTATTTAATTTTGCTGTAATTTAAATAAATATAGATTTCAGGACACAATTTTTTTGAAGAGTCGAGAAAGCGAATAGCGAACAGAACCATGTTAGTCAGCCGATCTCACATTTCCCTTCTGTTATGGCTTGAAAAATCACTATACTTTGGCAAAGAAAAGTCGATTCTTTATACTAAATTATTTTTACGTAAACATAAAAATTCAATTTTTTATGTATGATTTTTTTCAAGTCTCAAAAGTCATATCGCTTGTTTTTAAGAGTCGAACAATAAATGGCAAAAACGACGACGTCGAAGAGATTCGACGTACAAGTTCGTTGGTTCACTCACGTTTTGTTTCCGCTACCGTTCGAGAAATCGCTCCACTTTGGCGGGAAATCGGCTCCCTCAGTCGCGCGAACTTTTCGTTCCCGTAACTCGAGTGCCGCGGGATTTTTCCTCGCACGTATCGAACATTTGCCGCGAACCACGTCAGACGAGAGACTAGTAGCACCTGCCGAAGCGCCGGTCAGTTTTATGCGCGTCTCTGCTCCGTACGTCCCTGCTATCACGCAGATAAAATTAAGGTGAGGAGAGAGAGAGAAGAGACAGAACAGACTAGGGAGAAAATTTCATGAAATTTATTTTTTTACATAAACATCAATTATAAAAGAGGTGATTCTCTCTAATCGAAAGTACCTTCCTATAACGTATTTTAGACCAGCAGTGATTATTTTTAATCAGTCTGATCCCTAATTTGTTACGGATCATTAATGTGAAGCATTGAATACCTCTCAATGTTAATATGATTTAAGAATGAAATCTTAAGGAAAACCAATAATAACGAACATTTAATATTTTTATACTGAAAATCATAGTAATTGTGGGATTATATGGTTGGAAAAATTTTATAAGAGTTTCTCTGATTAATATTTACTACAATAAAAAATTAACATGTTTAAAATAAAATTAATTGAACGTATTTTATTTCTTATTGTAGTAGATATTAATTCTTTTTATTATGGTAAATATTAATAAAAAAACTCTTATAAAATTCTTTGAATACCATGTGGTCTCATGATTACCATGATTTTTAGGGTAAATTCTAAGAAAAAAAATTCTTTGTCTATTGCATTATTGCTAATAATTGATACACAAAGAAAGAGATAATTTTTTAAATAGAAACTTAGATATTTTATATAAATTGAACAAATAATAAATCAGCTAGACTTACTGAATACAAATAATATTGAGAATATAAATTTATATCAGTTTTATAATGCATTATATAAAGTTGGTAAATGAATTAATATTACGAGTTGTCTTCTTAAGCGTTAAGACATTTAATCTTTTGGCACATACATAATAATATATCGTCTTGTTATACATATTTTTTCAACAAATTCTTTCTAAACGTATACTGTCTATACGATAGAAATTAACTACAATGTTTCTCATTTATATTTCCGCTACCAACGACTTACAATTTTTCATATAATCGTTGTTATAGCTTCTCATTTATATTTCCACTATCAGTGACTTACGATTTTCGATAATCATTGTTATAGGATCGATTGAAGCTAGCTTTCCTTCGCATGTTCAATGTCTTTAATAATAAAACGAATGTAATTTCACCAATAAGTACAGATTGTGAGATTTAGACGACCTTGTGTAATCATATTGTTTCCATTATATCCTATGTAGGATCGATTTTTTCCTAATGTCTCTTTGATCGACGCGCGATGCAAATAGAATGCGAAAATTCGGGAAAGCTGATGTAGCAAACCCAGCATCAATGGTTGTGGTGTCTCTATATAGCGGGGTCGCCGTTTGAATAAGCTCCCCATACACAAGTGTATCGTGCTTGCGCGCATAGGGGGTAAGTTCTCACCCACCTGTCCCCATCTCTCCATCGTTTTATTAATAGACATTTACTCTTCACCTACATTTACAACACACCCTGTGGAAGCGGTGACAGGTCACCGGTCAATCTTCGTAATACATACACACATACATCGACCACTGCTCGTTTTCTCATCGCCACCTTCACGCATGATCTACTCGCATCCGTCGTTTTTCGAATTGGATCCCCCTTATTGGATCCCGGTAGAGAGCTTCGATGCCCGTGAACGCGTGAGAAGTAATTAAACCGAGTTCGTGTTGGTGTTCGACAGCCAGCCCTTTTGCGCATGTATTATAATGGCGATTTCGACGAAATTAGCGAACCTGAAACCGTCGATATACATGGGTTGTCGCAGAATTACTTACTAAATGTTTCTCATGATTTTTTTTAACTGTCTTGAAATCAATATTTTTCTGACAAAACGTTGAAGCACTCATAATTTTTCTATTAGAAATAGTTTTAAATTGTAAGAATTTCTCTCTTTCTCTTTGTTTTTTTAATTAACGAAAATTTAAGAAATATTTCATTTTTATTATCGCGATAAAATTTTTCGTCCAAACTTAAGTTAATAAACTTTATCCTGTATAATGTTATCAATTTCTTCTAAATTTTTTTATATATGTATATACATAATGTTGATGAAATCCAACTTAAGAGATTATATTATTTTATATAATTCAATCCATTTTTTAAAGATTTTTACACATTCAAGAATCTTATAGTAAGATATTAAAAACATTTTAATTGTTTTTCAAAATATATATCGTAACACATCATAAATGTTTTTGGAATTTACATCGTTTAGGGATTTTTAAAAAAATTACACAATTGAGACTGAAACGTATTTAATTTCTATTCAATTTTTAATTTTTTATCGAGTCAAACATATCATGGGGCGATTTCGGCAACATCTCATTGATTGTATCCTTCAGTGAGCAATTTCGCGCAGAGTTTGTTCTCCGTTTAAGCCCATTTTATCTATAATTCGCGATAGAATTTAAGACAACATTCTATATATATAATTTGATATCGAGCAATATGAATAACATTTGCAGGATTAAAATTACATAAGATTAAAATACATTGATTAAATATTAAAGTACAATTTTTTTTATCAACAAAATGCTTTAAGAAGTTATACAATCAACAGATTTAATAATCGTAATTCACGATTAAGTATATATAATTTTAATTATATATAATTATAATTAGTTAGCAACGTCCCGAAAAGACAGATAACAAAGAATGAAATAATTTCTATATAATTTAAAAGTTGTAATCAGACGTTCATGTATAATTAAAATCTGAGATTAGTTTTAACGTGAGACTTGTTTCTTATAATTATATATTTACAATTCTATACATAAAATTATAGAAAGAATTATTTCCGTCCCAAATAATCTGTAAGTTATCTAAGGTGGGCTTTAAGATATTGAGATTGTCGGCAGTATCTCAATTCCCGATGTAAATTGTTAGCTAGCAGATTTCTTCCCCGTCTTCTTGGAACGCGAAACAGGGTTTCGGATCACGAGGAGTTGTCCATCGCGATCGGCATACGTTTCAAAGGAGAACTCCTCACGAGGAAAAACAAAATCGATGTTACGCAAATTACGCCCTGCCATTCGGTGACCTGCCGCGCGAGGGCGAAGCAGACGGGGACGGATCCGGGCTGCATCCGTTACTGCTGCCGCGACGACTTCCGGTACCGCCGGTCTTCAGGCGCACCATCGTGTCCAAGTGGCGAAACCTGTACGCGCAGAATCCAAGATGTGATATAAAGATATATAATAAGACAGTGGATAACGTATATACAGTGATAATCGATAAACTGTAACTCCTGCAAAATTTTCACTGCCGTTGTCCATAGTGAAAACCTTTTAAAATGCTTTTTTTATTTTTTTAATTAAAATAAGAGAAATAAAAGGTCATAATTGAAGAGAAAAGAAGAGTCAGCTGAATGCAATGTCTAAACATAGATAGCGTCGTGTTTCGATCTCAATACTTTGTGGAACATTCAGTATTGGACTTGGATTTTCAATGGAGTCAAATGTCATTATAGTAGCGATCGATATAATAGCGGTGATAAGGGAAAAGACACTATTTGTTCCTGTGTATAATAGTGGAAAGGTAGAGATATCGATATCGGAAGGTGAAGCATTACATTGCATTATCGTTTGTACGATAATGCAATGTTTTCTAGCGTTAGATTTGTGACCAGATTTTTTTAATGTGACAAATTTTAATATCAATGTGTCGAATTCTAAGATTTATGTAATGAGAGAAAGAGAGAATATACCTGAGTGATAATTCGCTGGTATCAGCAGCTTCTTTCGCCTGCATGAGATAAGCAAGCGGCCAAGATATCCAAGATTTCCTAAAAATAAAACAAATTCATAATTCTGATTTTATGTTCACGATTGGATAATTTATTCTAATAACTCATAAATAAAAAATCGATATAATCATCTTACGCTCCATATTGAGGATTTGATCCGATACCGCCTATTGTTGCCTGCGTATCGAGCTTAGCTCCTGTCCTGTTCGGAGTTTTTGTGAATCCTGGCTGAATCGCAGGATCAGACACCATACGTACGAAGAAGGATCTTCTCTGTTCCAAAGTAGCCTTTCTTTTCTTCTCGCGAATATCCGCCAGTTCATCCATTACGTCCTGAAGTATAAATACACGATGACAAAGATATGTAAAAATGTTTCCTTCTCATAACATATTAAAATAATCATATTCCAACTTACGTTGAATTCCAATAATTCGGATAGATAGTCCGTTATAATGTTCCAAGCCATGTCTTAAACAAGAATTATAATTTGTAGAATTAATTCAAGTTGACGATTCATGCATTTCTTTAAACAGAAAATAATATAATAAAATAATATACATTCGCGCTATCATATTCTTTAATCATTTTTACTGTCAACTGAAATACAATGTTTTTAAAGAAAATTGTATTAAGAGATATTTTAAGATTAAATGTCTAAGAAAACCTTAGAAGACGAGTGTAAAAATAATTTACCAACATCTCTGGCAGTTGCATTAGGTGCAGCGAGTGCAAAACGTATCGTGTAACGTTGATTTACTCGAGCCGGGATCATATGCATTTTTCCCGAATCATTAATCGTGCTCAATAATTTTTGATTCAGTTTATCGCTGCCTTTAGCGCGAAAACATACCAATCCCAGCTATGATAAACATAATATATAAATATAATCATGTGAATATGATTTATATATATATATAAGGAATACAGTATACGATGCTAAAAAATATTCTCTTACCACGACTTCATTGCAAACTTCGAATCTAGAATCTTTTCTAACGAGATTCTCGAATCTTTTAGCAAGTTTGACGTGATTTCGAATGTAGCCTTGTAGACCGGATATCCCGTAGGTTCTCAATACGAACCATAATTTTAATGAGCGAAATCGTCTACTCAGTGCTATACTCCAGTGTCTGTAACAATATGTAACAGCATGTTTACAGTACTAAAAGTTTGCGTCAATAATTACTTAGTCTTCAACTATTAAAATATTATTATTAATCTAAAGTATTTTTAGCATTCTATTATGGATCGATATCTGTTCTCTAAAAATATAAATTATAATTAAAATAAAATGTAATAATAACTAAATATAATGAAGAATTAGAATTGGTCGTGTTATCGATCAATTCTAATAACAATAGCAGAATGAAAATAAAATTACAGTGAAGTAACAATTTAAAAAAAAAATTATGATGTAATAGTGACTTTGACACTTCTGCTAAATTAATTGATTGTAATATAACCGATAATCTATAGCTGTATCCGCGTGTGTGTGCTGGAGATACAGCGGATCCACGACGAGTGCGCTGGTAAGCTTAAATCTATCGCGAACCCAGAGGCAGGAACAATCGAAATTTGTCAATAGAAATTTGTTGGTATTGGTATTGAAGGAGTCGGCGTATTCGACGCCGGCCATAAGATATTTCAATTCTGGACAGATGAAAGCATTTCCGGCGTAAGCGGCGTCCACGTGGAGCCAGATCTGCAATCGAATTCTCGATTAAAAGGACGAATTAAACTAGCTAAATCTTTCTCACAAGCATAGATAATTTGAATTTTTAACACGTACCCCTGGATATTTTTTACAGACCGGTCCAATTTCCTTAAGATTATCGAACGAACAACAGGCGGTTGTACCTAGAGTCGTTGAGACGAAAAAGGGAACATAGCCTTCGGCTGCATCACTTTCGATCGCCTATCAATTAATCAGAATGCATTATACGAAATCAGTAACAAGTTATGAAATTATTTATCAATTAATCAGAATGTATTATACGAAATCAGTAACAAGTTATGAAATTATTTATATGAATCAAGTGATAATATTTACACGAATTTCTATAATTATATCATTGAATATGATAATTTAATCGTATCATTTTTCATATATAATTTTCTATAAATGATTGGATTATAATTAATTTTATGCATACATTTTTTAAGAACATTGATACGATGGATTTTTACGCACTTGTCGCAAGGTCTCTCCGCGAAGCACGCTCTTCTCGTCCGGTTCGAGAATACGCAATTTCACGAAGCATATCATAGCGTCCTTCTCGACGGAACTATGACTTTCCCGGCTGCAATATGCCATCAGCTTCCCGAGCAGCGCGGTCTCGTCCAAGTGTGCATGCGCTGAAGATTCCTTGAGTCTCGCAATTGCTTGCGCTCTTGCAGCCAGCATGCACACGAGAATGCATTCCGATGCCGAGCCCTGTGTACAGGATGATCCACATAAAGTGTACTCTCAAGAATGACCTACAGCTTGTTGCTCATTCCGAAAATTCTTATTATCTTTTTTTCGCGCACCTCTATAACGCCTCCACCTTTACTGCCCTCGCTAAAGTACAGGAAATCCGTTGGTAATCCAATCGCCTTGCCTACAATTCAGAAAGATGATGCATCACTCCCGTAAATCGATCGTTCGCAAAATTGTTTTGACAAAATATCACATATGGGAGAATTACCGAACCAATCGCAGACTATCGTCTCCAGTTCCGTGCAGGCCGGACTGGCCGCCTAAGACAAATAAGATTCTATTTTGGGAGCGATCAGGTAAATAATTGCGAGCGATCCGTCATAAGGATCTGATGCCAAGATCAGATGAGAAATTGAGATTCGCGAGAAAATCGAATTCTGACTTCGGATCGCCACTTTGTCGTTGCGTCAAGCCACGATTTGTTTAATTAACTTTGCAAGCATTTACTTAGAACTCCTTAAATTACTCAAAGAGATTTCTCACTCACCCAAGAAAATCCAATGCAGCCTATGGCATCCGACAGCATATCACCGAGAATAGAGGGAAAGGAATTTCCCGCCGGGAAGTAGGCGTGGAACCTTGGATGCTGCCAATGCGTGATCTAGAAAATAGTTTGTGCGTTTCGTAGAAACCCCCCCATTTTTTCTTATAGTCATTACAAAATTTTCCATATGTACAAACATTTTGAAATACTTTTTTTTTAATATGAGAAAATTGCAATATCCAATTTTAATATAAAGAAAATTCAATTAAGAAGAAAAGTTCTGTTTGAAACTGGATATCGCAATAGTTTTGCTATTTAGAATATTTCTGGTATTCATAATTGAATTAGTGCTTTCCGAATCTCGCGAATACTCACGCCTGGCATAATCTTCGATTCCACATCCTTCATAATCTCGTCCCATGATTCCGGGTCATTCGGCGGCCCCGAAGGTAGTAGAGGCCTAAGATAGCCAGGACCGACATCCGGAGTGACTCTCCTGGTATGAATATTGCTCATGAAGTCGCAGATGTAATCTACCATTTCCTTTCCGCGGACACGGAACTCCTCGATATCCATAATGACTTATTGCGAGCTCACTTTGGTGACCCCTTTGCATCGAATGCAGACATTAAATGAAGACATTGAAATTTCAGTTTTCCTCAAAAGGTATAATTTCTTTTATCTTTTTTATATTTTTCCATGATAATTTTATTTTCAATTTTCGTACATTTTTTTATCTTTACATATATTTATTGTCATAATTATTTATAATTATTTTTGCAACATTGTTGACATATTCGTTTTAAATTTTTCCTTTTATAATTGGAATTTAACTTTTTTACAGAGAATCATCTAATTTCTGTTCATCTTATTGTTTGAAATATTTTTATTATATTTTATTATTATAAATTTTAAATATTTTAGGTATTTATTAATAATAATTATTGAAATGTGAATCTGAATCATAATACACACACAGAATTTCATATTATTTAAAATTATTATATTTAAAAGATTTTATTTATCTTTATAATAAAGAAAGAGAAGCTTGAATATAAATTCGTTTAGAAAAAATTGTCGTTAAAAGATTTAGTATTTAGTAACATACAATTCGATTATAATTAATTTGTAACAATAACGTTATTATAAGATACAAAATAATAGTGTTATAATAACTCTCATTGCTGCAATATATCGATTACATATTTTAATGTTTATTATATTTCATTATTATCCATTTTTATATAGGCAAATCATAACGAATTATGGCTCCGAACTTAGGCTCCGCTAATTATCGACATTATATATCATTGCATTTCTTCGAATATGTACTTTAAGAATATAGTTTAGATTAGAATTATTGAATAATGTAATATATTTTGCAGGTTAACATTATATTATTTTTTGTTTACTTAATTAAACAAATATATTCTGTGATATGCAGAAAAATGGACTCGTTAAGCATTATCATATGTATCTATAATTACACAATAATTGGAAATTTTTTATTTATATATTATTTCTACTTTAAAATGCTTTTTAAACATCCATTTAAAATAAGAAAATATAGTAGGAAAAAATAACAGGAAAAATAGGAAAATAGACATTTTAAAAATAATTTTTAAAAATAAAAATAGTTTTTTCACATATATGTATATACGATATATATATATATATATATATATATATATATATATATTAAAAATTATTTTTAAAATGTCTATTTTCCTATTTTTTACTGTTATTTTTTCCTACTATATTTTCTTATTTTAAATGGATGTTTAAAAAGCATTTTAAAGTAGAAATAAAGTATAAATAAAAAGTTTCCAATTATTGTATATACTATAATATACTATAATTATAGATAGGTAATGCTTAACGAATTTATTTATTATAATTATAGTGTACTTAGATATAATAATGCTTAAAAAGTTTATTTACTTGATCTGCAAAAGATATTATTTATTATTCAACAATTTTAAACTAAACTGTATTTTAATATTGATATTGCTTATAATTTATAGTGTGCAATGCGCATAAATCGATTTTTTATGCATGCGCATGCAATCCTGAATTATTAAATAAAATTCTCCAAATTATACAAAAACAGATAAAGTGGAAGTTAATATATGAATATAAAGTTAAGCCATTTTTTAATTTCTGCATTATTTACTTTGTACTCTATTTTAATGATTTGCTTATATAATGAATGGGAAGTAATAAAAGATGTTTTATTTGCTAAAATACAACACAGTATCAATATGAAATATTTGGAAAGTAAAATCTTCGATTGCATATATGATTTCGAAAGTTTCAATTATTGTCAAATGAAAAGTAGCCGATCAAATCGGGTGAAATTTTCAAAATAATTACTTAAGACTATTATTAATTTAATTATTAGACTAGCTATTAAGATTATTAATTTAATTATTAGACTATTGATTCATTATAGGATTTGTCTGACCTCATCTTTAGAATCGACTTTTGGGCACTTCCTGATGTCCTGGCCCACTGTGCAACTGCATCGCGACATTACATTTTTAGCTTAATGTTATCGAAGATTTTATTTTTCTATTATAAATTAAACGTCTCTTCTCATATAAAATAGAGATCATGGGCGCAAACAAATTTGAACTTTTAAAATGCAATCTTCGAAACCTGTCACTTAAGCGATTAAGAATCGAGTTTGACACCTCCGTTTGACACGTTGACACATTCTCGTGATAGTTAAACTGATCTATAGCAATATCAGGCTGAAAATGATTCAATTAATATTTTTTTTTCACGACGAATCGCTATCTATCTCTCGCAACTGTCACTTTCGCGCACTCGTGATCTCAAAATTCGCGGTTGCCTTGTGCGTACGCGTTTTGCATTCTCCTACCTGTTGCTGATATCAGTGACGTGATGATACGACGTGATAGAATCGGATTTGACACACCGACTGGAGCTTACGTCGTCGGATCGGATGACGACTGAGCTGAACTGAACTGAACAATCCGGGATAGTTCGCCATCCACGACAGATATATGTCGGGAGCATCCAGGGCGCAAAATTCCATCGGAGAGTCCTGCGCAAACGCATCCTTCTTCGGCAGGACTTCTTCGTCATTTCGTGAAAGATGTGCGCCCCACGTTGCCTTTCCACACCCGTCCCAACGCAATTATACGCGTGTCGCTTTACGTGTATGCGTTGGATTTGGCCCAAAGATCATAGGATCAACCCTCTGCAGGAATTTTTATAGGAAAATTATGCGAAATTACTTGCAGAGAGATTAAATGATCTGCATACACAAAAAGGAGAGGAAACATTACCTTCTTTCATAGTTTTATGAAATATTTCACGATAATTATCTCACTAAAGACGTGAAGAGGCAAAAATCAAAATTTATTAACTATATTTCAATATTTTTCATTCTAATTGTAAATTGTACTTTTAATGGATGCTAGAGTGATTTATTTTATATATTGAGAAAATATGTAAAATAAATTAATCTAATTTTCCTTATATGGGGGAAAGAAATGTATTCGCATTTAAATTAAAATTTATATTTTCATTTTGCGAAATATCATGAAGCTTACGTAATAGCTATAGAAAAATAATTAAGGCAATAAATATTATGTAAAAGATACTTTATTCTTATTAATATATTATTCTTATATTAATTAATAAGTAGAACTAATATTTTAAATATTTTTTCCAATAGAAATATATTTTTATTTTTATTTCTTCTCATACATAAAATTTGTCTCGAACATATAATTATATATATATATATATATATATATATATACACGAATGTTTTTAAGATTTCATTATTAATTAATCATTAAATATATATTACTACGATAATACAAACATTTAAAAAATTTGGAAAGAGCATTCCGAATAAAGATGAAAAGACAAAAATCGGAAAACATTGATGGAAGGAACTTTAATGAAGAATCTTATTTTACGACGTGATAGAAATACTTAAATAATTGTGGAATTGTTTCCGCTTCCCTCCGTCTCTTAACGGGAAAATTTCTGGAAATTGATGACGAAGACCGATCCATTTCAGGTTCTTATTCAAGTTATTTAGAAAAAGCACTGGGTGACCTTTTAAACAAATTCTTTGATCAATTTAAAGTCGACTTATTCTTGATAAGAAATGTCGAAAGAATTTATCACTTATCTTGCACAATTTTCCAATATTTAATGTTACATAAATCTTTTCGTAATTTAGCTTCAAATGAAAACCTTCGAATAAAATCAATTTGATATTAACTAAAAAAAATATAATTTCATTATACATATATTTATTTATTCGTTTCCTGAATTTGAGTTAATTTAACTTGGATAAAAAGCTTTTAAAAATAATTTTTCTCATTAATTATTTAGAAATAATTTTGGCCGAGAAGAAATTGGTTCTAAATCGAAGGATGTATGATTTATCAGCGAGATGTATGATAATTGGAGACACCCAGTACAGATGCCTCGTTCACTCGAGTAAATTGGATGCTAGCGGTCTCGTGGTTTATTAAGATGGAAAAAAGGAGGTAACGTAAGCAGGCATCGTTATTAAGAGAGTGCCAGTTGCAGAAGGCGTCGACTGATTCTCGCTTATAGAAGGAAACCGAGAGCGAAGTATACGCGAGATGTTCGGAAAACCCTTGACCTCTCTTGCTTTTCCCGCGTTAAAGAATCCGTGGGCTCGAGATCTTGCAAAACGCGCGCTAACTTTCGAAAAGCAGCCGGGTTCGAATCGTCATCGAAATATAAGATCCCTCATGTTCTGTGAAATGCTGCTGAAATTAACTTCCGCGATGATGGCGGGCATTTGTCGATTGTCAATTTGCGTGGTGATTATAGCTCGAGGAAAGCTCGAACGGTAATTTAAAAGGATTAAGGAATATTCATCGATTACGACGAAACGATCCATAATGCAGAGTATTAATGATAACGAAATTGTTATAAATATACTTTCTAGTGTCCTTACTGCAATCATTGAATTCATGTTAACATTAGAAATTGATGTACAATATTTTCGCAAAAAGTTTTTTCGGAAAATTTTAACACAGTGAAAACGGTGCTAGTAATATAACTTGAAAAAAAATTATTCAAACATGATTATATACTATAATTAATATATTCTGGTATTCGAGAAAAACATTTTTAATTTTTTAAAAACTTTTAATAAAATCATATCTTTTTATTGTATGACCTTTGAATAGACATAGTCATCTATCAAGTGATCAAATAGATTGGTCACTTAATAGATATGCTCCAACATATTTATTTAGGTCACCAATTAGCGCGAATTCTAGTTAATTGAATTTTCTTTGTTCGCGTTTATATTACGTGTCACTTCAATTTAGAAAGAGATATCATTAACTTGGAATTAATTAACTCGAATTGTTGGCACAAGTCATTTCTTGGAGAATAAACACATTTTTTTATAATATTTATTATATGCATACATACATACATAATTATTACATATTGAAAAAAAATATTAACTTGACTAAACCATTCAACTAAATTACTATTAAGTGAATTGAGGATATATTAGTATTTAAATCAAATATACATTTTAGATTTAACTTAAATATTTCTACATGTTCAATTAACAAAATAGTATTTAATTAAACGATTTGGTCAAGTTAACAACTTTTTTTCAGTGTAAACACAATTTTTTTAAACAAAAATAAGACCCCTTATAGTGAAATAATTCAATTTACAATGTATAAAAAAAGCATTAGTCTTAGATTCCCCAACTATTAATATTACTATTATATGTTAATGGAGCATAATTAGTCTACTTATATTAGTATTTAAATCAAATATATACATTTTAAATTTAATTTAAATATTTCTACATGTTCAATTAACAAAAGTATTTAATTAAACGATTTAGTTAATTTTTTTTAGTGTAATAATGTATAAAAACAATTATTTTCAGCAAAAATAGGACCCCTTACACCGAAACAATTCAATTTAGAATGTATTGAAAAGCATTATTCTTAGATCCTTCAATTAATAAATTCAAAATCGAGGACCTGCGTAAACTCTGCAAAGGGCGCGCGTGCCCTTCGATGTCCAATTTCAAAGGGTACGTGACGTGGTGACAAGGATGTTACAAGGAACGGATGTTCTCCTAATAAGGGAGGGGGTGCAACGAACCCCGGATCAGTGATCGCAGGCCGACAACAGGGAGTCGGTCCTTTCGCTCACGCCCTTTAGGGATAAAAACGTTCATAATACCGGAATGTCGGCGCGGGAAAGAGGAAAGGGAGGTCGCCCCGACCAGCGGGGGTGCTTAATAATGCAATATGGCGTCGGGGCGTTGCGACGCTATGCGGACTATGCCACGCATACCACTATACCGCGCATACGCCTACACTTTGAACCCTCTTGCCTCCTTTTCCCCATCGTTGCGGGTTTTCTCCGCGGGAACGAGGCCGCGCCGACACCGGGGTCGGCTTATATATCGCCGGCAATCGAATGTTGATTGGAAAATATTGATGGGACTTTCCGTTCTACGGTGGTCCCTCTTTCTCTCCTACGTTGACGGAGAGGATGCTTTTTCCATCGCGATACGCTCAGGAATTCCGATCAATTATATATATATATATATATATTTTCTCTCCCCCTGAAAAGCCGAGACTCTCTTCGATGCCACCCTGGTACCGTCGATATTAATTGGCGAGGATCCGAATATGAAGTAATGAAGCAGAGGATGACGTCAGTCATATCAATGAAGGGACTGATACAACTGTTGAAAGAATTATAATATATAATATTATATTTGTAATATCAATTATATATATATATATATATGTTCTCTCCCCCTGAAAAGCCGAGACTTTTTCGATGCCACCCTGGTACCGTCGATATTAATTGGCGAGGATCCGAATATGAAGTAATGAAGCAGAGGATGACGTCAGTCATATCAATGAAGGGACTGATACAGCTGCTGAAAGAATTTATAATATATAATATTATATTTGTAATATTGTTTTGAAGGGTTGCGCTATAAATAATAAGATTTTACTCTTCGATTTTTTGTCATTGATATATTAAGTGATAACGTTTTCCGCATATTGAATTTAAATCCATAGCTTTATTCAGAGTCAAATAAAAAAATATTAATGGAAAAAGAATTTACATTATTTAAGTTTTATTTTATGTAACAGTATTTGAAAATGTAATAGATAATTTCTTCTCTCTCTGATACTTTTTTAAATATGTATAATAGTTGACTATTCATATTTTCTATTTGCCCTATTATTCTCGTAAACATACAGCAATGGTATGATTAATTTTCACTTTGTTACATACCTATACATTTTTGTTAAAATTCGAAATATCTTTATATTTAGATTACTTTATTATATTCTTTGCAATATATTAAACTTTGTTTGATATAAAATCCTCTAATTAAAAATATAGTTAAATATTCTTTTGTGGTGTGCTATTCTTAGAGAGAATTTTCTCTCAGAATTTACTGAAAATCATGATAATCGTGGGATAATATATTTAATATTGGAAGAATTTTATAAGAATTTCTCTGATTAATATTTATCACAATAAAAATTATTAATATCCACCATATAGATATAAAAATATGTTCAATTAATTTTACTATGTACAATAAAATTTTACTAAATGTACACACATAGTATAATTAATCGAACATATTTTATGTCTTATTGTGATAGTTCTTAATATTTTTTATTGTGGTTCTTAATCAGAGAAACTCTTATATAAATATGTGTTATCTTGATAATTATATTAAATAATTTTATCTTATTGAATATATTGCATTATTATATTATATAATTATATTTTGTCATATATATATATATATATATATATATATATATATATATATAATGCGATATAGTTCCCCGATCAAAAAATGATTGAATACAGATACTGAAATCTAGAAACAAAGCTTTCAGCGTTCTTTAGTCTGTATCATTATCCTTAAGAGCGCGGAAACCCCAGATAAACGTCACAATTGGCAAAATATTTCTGCGTGCGACTGTACAAGGTCGTTCTGTAAGTTCCATGAATGGTTCCGAATGGCACGCCAGCGAAGCTGCGATCCTTGTGACTGAACCCATGACCTACTGCCAGAGAGAAAGAGAGAGAGAGAGAGGGAGAGACGTGATGTCTAAACGTCACCGTAGCTCGCTTCGATTTCCAGAACAGCTCAACTATTTCTGAAATTGCATCCTCTAACATTATGCTGACCTTATTCAAAAAAAAGAGAACCTTCCTCTCGCCATTGTTGCGCCAAAATCTATTTTAAGTTGCAATGATGCACTTTGCTGTTGCATTACACCTTTAAATAAGATGAAAAATTTTATCTACAAATCCCTTTTTGGAATTTTATTCCAAAGTTGATTTTTCGTATCGAAAATTTATATAGATGATTAATCCATAGAATTAAAATTTTAATTATAATTCTTATAAAGCTTAATTATTAAACGTAGATAAAATTCGATCAATATAATTCACTCATTCTCTTCAACTAATATTAATTTGTTAGCCTTTAATTAATTATAAATAAAATATTATCGACTAAAATGTCTCTGACACATCGTGCGCATTTAATGAATAAGAAATATAAAAACTAATTTTTATTTTTCTTTACGTTTTAGATGGGAAAATCAAAGTTAATAAAGAGGTTGAAGCGAGAAGAGGAATCGGCAGAAGAGTCGACAAATACAAAAGTGCCAATAGATAATTTACCAAAAAAATTTCTCTGGATGCACGTAAGTTCACAAATCCTTCAGAGGATTTTCTTTAGAAAATTCATGCTTTATTCACGAAATATATTTTAAAAGGTGAAGAACGGTACAAAAATTAGAAATGTTCTCGACTACGCATTGAAGGAATTTCCCAATTATAATAGCATCGTTTGGACCGGAATCGGACAAGGTATTGTAAAAACCATTTCTTGCGCGGAACTCTTCAAGAGGAATCAAGAGGGTCTTCATCAAGTCACAAAATTATGTTATACCGAGTAAGTTTGTCAAAACAAGTGTCAATGGGCGCAGTATCGTGTATATTCAATTTCGTGTTTGATTTTAGATCCGAAAAAGAAATAACTGAAAAAACCATTAACACTCATCGAGTACCGGAAATTCATATCTTATTGACTAAAGATATTAAAGACATAACTGAGCTTGGGTGAGTGTTATTAAATTCAATATATATGTACGCATGTATATAATCCTTCAAATTTCATCGAAAAAATACATGAGATTTGTATATAATTTTTCTGAAAATTTCATTGTTTATTTTTGACTTTAGATATCAAGCGCCTGACGATTGTGGAGAATTTTCAGAAAAGGAAGCAGTGGAATCGAAACCAACAAAAAACGTTGACAATATACCTTGCAACGAACAATTCATTAGAAAAAAATTAAACATTGGACAGAAAAGGAACAACAAGTGGATTAATAATGCGAAATTTTCTTCGAAAAAAAGTAAAAAAAGTACATCTTGATATTCATAATATATCTTTAATATATTATAGAGCTAAAGAAAGAAATTTGGATACGATTTTAAATATTAGATTTACATATCCCAAAAAAGAATTTAAAACATAATTTAGAATTTATAACAGAGGACCTTTCACAGTATCTGATTTTAATGAAATTTTTTTGACAGACTTACATGTAAATTAACTTTACAAAAAATTGTAGTATAATTAGAATATTAATATATTTATATCGTTCTTAGTTTTCAATTTTTTTGTTTGCGCGATTCAAATATTTTTCTCTCGTTTTAAATAAAAAAAAAGTAAAAGCAAAAAAGTAATAACTAAAAATTAAAGACTTCTATATTTATAATTTCAAAAAAATATTGTTAACTTTGAATGATAATTGAAAAAGGAAAGTAAAAATCAAATTATATATAGAAAGTTTATTTTTTATCAGTACATTTTTCACGGGACAATCACACGAGATATATATATATATATTATATATTCCTGCAATGTATCGGTTCCTCACATCTCATCATATTCATTTAATATATTATAATTCAAATGTTTGTACTTACAAATTTTATATACAGTGCTACAATATCCTTTCCATTACATCGGGTAAGAAAAAGAATCTATGTGACAAAACAATTTATCAGAACCAATGTCTTTTGTTTAAAATCTCATTCAGAAATATAAAGGGCAGTATAACTTTCACATTGCACCAGTATGTCAAATGTGAATTACGATTCAATTTCCATGCAATTCTCTTATACTATTTTACAATATATAATAAAAGAATCTCGTGATAAATACGTGTGTAAACGCTGCTTTTACAAAATGAGAATTACATGTATTATTCATCGCCCTGTCATCGATCATTTATTCACTATCATAAGATTTAATTTTGCAGTCGCTATTTTTTCCATTAAAAATGGATTCACTCACTGTTATTTATTTAAAATAATTCATGCTATAATTTTATAGCGATATGTTATCATATTTGGAAATCTTAAACGAATTGGCAACTCACCTGTCTCTTTCAATATTCTATTTCCTTTGTTATTATAGATTCGATTTAGTTTTATGCTTCAATATATATATAAAACGAGCAATCTGTCCACAATTTATTGCAATAGTAGAAAGTATCGTCGACAACAGGATAGGAAAGCCAGCACATTTTGCGACTGATATCACTACGTAGAATAAATGTATATAACAGTATTCTCTATACCATCATATTTATCGCTATATCTCTCCTTCAAACAATGCATTTTACAAATATCAACTACATAATGTAGGTTATTATGCTTACTTTAAACTAACACGATTCTCGTATAATGTGTAAAATCGTTTATATAAATTCACATTTTTATTATGCAAATCGACGTAACAAACGTATTCAAGACCTTATTTCCAATTTATTGGAAATTTCTGTGTAACTGGAACTTGTTTTATCAAGCCACTTTAATATTTATATCACTTCAAAGCTAGATTTACTGCTTTTTAGATAGAATAAAAATAATATAAAATTTCATCAATTTTGCTTTATACGGAAATATTTTAATTTTTTTTTTTTATTACAAAATGCATTATTTTTATATTTAATGATAAATAAACTTGTAAAAATATAATAGAATTTTAACAGAATTACATAAAAAATTTTGTTTATACATATTATAGTGTTTATAAACAATTATATATATATTATATATATATATATACTAACTTATGTAACTAAGTGTAAATGAGTTATATATTTTTTGCATCACACATATTTAGCATATAAAGATATTGTTTTTTCACAAAAAAGTTGTATAATTGTTACATTTAAAATATAAAGATATAGTGAGATTTGTGCCAGTGTGTCTAATAATTTCAATAGCATAAAGGTAAAGTTTATATATTTTACTAATATTAATATAATTATATATAAAAAGTGTAACAGATTAAATTACTGTATATAATATGTTATTACAGACTTTAATAGTTTTAATGAATTCTCTACTGTTTTAAACACTGCTCAGATCTTAAATATTAAAAAGATAAATAAATATAAAGATTGGTTAAACACAGAAAATACTATGTATATATTGATAATTGCACAACTATTGATAAAACATTCATCAAAGATAATTTCTATTTAACTTAACCATATTGGAGACAGATAAAAGATTGTAATAAATTTATGCTTTTAAGTAAGAGCAAATTTACTGACCTTATTCAAAGACCTTTGTCATATTTATATTTGCCATAAAGTATTAAAATGTTAAATGTGAAAATTATCAACTTTTCCTACTAAATCTGGCAATTCGACTTTGGACAATATGATCGCAATGTTAAGTCCTATGCTTCGCTTTCCGTTGCGCCATCACCTTCCATAATAGGTACTATTAAATTATCCTTTGACATCAGATTATATTTTGTCACAAATGAGGTAAACCTGTAACAAAACACACAGCACCTTTATATAATACAATGTATACCTGATGCATGATAATATGAAAATATTCATACATTGCACTTATTACCTGCGACAAAGAAAAGTCTCATTTTCAAATTCATCGAATATTGTTCTATGGTGGAAATATGCATGTGAGAAGATTCTGTAAACCCTACGGCAGACGGAGCCAAGTTTAGCTACAGAAGATTCCTTGATGCTGATTCTGAAAAAGAAATACATTCATACATTAGAAATTTTTATACGAAAAAATTTATTTAGAAATACATTTAATAAATTGTGTAATATATTTTAAGTGAAATAAAGAAATTACCTGCTAGGAAAATATTTGTTACTGTTGAGTAAACACGCCGCTCCGTCCAGCGTGTGCCGAGTGTAATCAATTGCAGGACATTCCTTAGGAGTTTTATGCGCAGCGCATAAAAATATCCACTGTTCTGTAGCTGTCATTTGTGTGCACGTTTCAGGATGACATTCTTCTTGTAATCTCACTGCCAAACCATTAAGCTCCATGCAGAATTGTCTGAGATGTTCATACTTCCATACTCCTTCATCATTAGCTTCCGGCATATTAAGTATTAATTCAATATTAGATGGATCTCTTCTGATCATTTGTTGAATATATTGCTGTACAGCTAGCGTGCTATCCATTTCTTCAAACGGCTCATCAGGCCACCTACTGAAGTCCTACAACAGAATACAACTATGAACATATAAGCTCGATAAAAATAATTAAATTTACGTCAATGTTTTAAATTTAAATAATTAAATTACGTCAATGTTCTTAATAATCGATTTCTTTGCTATATAGGTCGTCGCGATATAAAAATAGATTATAGGATAAAATAACTTCGCGCATTTTACTTCAATTTTTCACAACGAACAAAAAATGTCAAACGAGAGATAAACGAGATTTGCATCGCTTTAAAAAGCAAAATATGCAATATTTTTAAATTTTATAGAAATGTGTATCACAAAGAAGAAAATAAATGATCTAATGTATTTTTCTTATGCTTTGGTGGATGCTGAGAAAATACAACACAATCGTAAAATTACAAAAATTACATTTTTGAAAAGGATATTTATAAGTACGCGGACGACCCTACGAGAAAGAATGACAATATTATTTTTGTAGTGTAAACAGTGTCTCGATTTATATATCTCACAGAGTTCATTGATTTTCATCGAGGAAGTGTCAAAGCAGGAAGGAAGTGTCAGGAATTCGATGAAGATATGGTCGGCGTAACGCGGATTCTGACAATCAAGTGTCGCCTGCGGATGCAAGTGCAATACTTCTTCAACAAAATTAATAACCTCTGCCTTTGTTCCGGGCCTGTTTCTTCGCAAGATTGTAGGTCCGTCCGCCATCTTCATCTTGCTAGTTGTTGCACTTGACTGACCGGTACACGCTCGATTAGCGAGGAGATGACCTTTTCGTCGAGTCTCGTCGATAGATGCTGATGCACCCACGAACCCCGTCTCGTTTCTCTCCAAAGTTTCACCCTAGGCCCTAGAGACGAATCGAAAGGCGCTCGGACTGTTTTCCCTAGAAAAATTACGCATGCGTATTATACCATCTTCAAAATTTGGCGCCAATTTTTAATTCCTACAAGTATCTCATCGCTTTTTTCACGGATCAACTTTTATATAATAAAAAGTTTCCGAGAAAATTTAAATGAATATTTTTAAAAATATTTATTAATATTTAGTTTACATATATTTAAGTTATTAGGAATATAGAGATACACCAATTTGTAAAGAAACAAATGATAAAAACATTGTTTTTAGCATATATATGCAAATATATTCTGATGTATATCATTCAATTGACGTAACATTTTCATTGTTTGCTTGATCTGTAATATACGTTTTTGTTACAATACACTTTGTCATATGACAATTACATGGAACATCATGTTCTACCTCCTCCGCATTCAACAAGTTTAATTCTATATTGTAACGTCTCGGATTCAATTTGTCTCTTTTTAAATCCAATTTAAAGGCAATAGGTTCATTTTTTATTACCTCTGTATTTGTAGGTAGAACAACAGCAATTTGTTTCCAGTGAGTTTCCTCATCGTAAGGTGCTGTAGATAGTTCTGAACCATCTGGGAATTCGACTGCAAACCAAATGCATATCCCTTGATATTTTCCATCTTTCTTGCATACCGTTACATAATTATCTCCACCTAATAGGTTTATTTCTTCTACAGAGATGCAATTTAAATCCAGCCAAGCAAGCAATTTCCCTTCTGACAAAAGATTATCTTGATTTAGAAGTAATACTTCTGGCTTCATCGATTTGATTTTTCTGTACTCTTCTCCAACACATCTAAATAAAAATTGACAATAAATACATTGTTGCACAAATATAGTTCTTGAAATCATAAATATAAAAAAAGAATAAGAAAGAGAGAAATAAATCCATTATATTTTAAATAGAAATTAAATATATGTTGCCATTACTTTTTCCTTTTTATTTAAGAATAATATAATTACCTCATACTGACTCCACATACATTATCCCAAAATTCATACATAGATGGTAACTCACATGGCGTAGCATACAATTTTGCTATGGCTGGGAATAATAAACCACCTTCTCGTAAGAAATTATCTCTAGCAAAAAGTACAGAATCTAACATTCCTTCATGTACTAGATAAAAACCCATCCATTCTGAAACAATTATATCTATTTTCTCCAAACTGTCTGGCTGGATGTCCTCTACCTTACTATGAATTACTTCTATTTTATCCTGCAGATAATTTTCTATCGACACTTGTTCAATAAGCTTTGCCAATAAGCTTGCTTCCACTGCGTATACTTTCTTTGCACCAACTTGAGCACAAAAAATTGATAATATACCTGCAAAAAATATATATATTTTAAGCATAAAAAATTGATAATATATCTGCAAAAGAAATATAGATATGATCATAATATGTAACATGTTATAATTTGTATCGAGCAAATAAGTAATATATGTATTATACACATACACACACAACACACACACACACACACACACACATATATATATATATATATAACAAGAATTTAGTAAGCTATTTACCTGAGCCTGCACCAACATCCATCACTACCTTATCCTGAAATTTCTCTTTCATATTAAAAATAGCTTTCTTGTATGTTATAACACGTTTTTGTCACTTAGCATTAATTTATGAATCTATAAATGTAATAAATACATAAATATAAAAATGATTTACAATAACTAGATAGAAATTATTATATAATTAAATATATATATATATATATATATATATATATATATAAATTTGTTTGACTTACATCGAGTTCTTCGTAACTTTCAAAATATTGATCCATGATTGAAAATACACAAATAACAAAAATTATAAATGAAAATTTTATGTAAAATAATCCACACTTTTCTTCTTCTGTTGCTATTTTTCTATTTATATAATCTTTGTTTTTTTTCTATTCAATCTCAATTAAAAAGATGTAAATTGAATATTTATCTTAACCATTAAATATACCATGTGATGTTATCCAATAACCTTCTTATTGTCAGTGTCGCTCAATGTTAAGCCATGACTTCATATATTGCAATTTTATTTTATTTTAGGAATAAGCAAAAATAAATAAATGCACAAGAAATTGAAAAAAAACTTTGGTTTATATATTGTATAATGAAAATATTGCATTTTTTTACATGATTTTGAAAATTAATACATATAATAATCGTAATTATTACATTGTAATTATGTATAGAGAACAAGATAAGGAGCATATTATTGAATATTTGATATCTCGAGAATATAAATAATTTTTTATATTTATAAGTATTTACTATAAATATAAAATTCTGAATGTGTCAATCTTAATAACCTTTCTATCTATATCACTTATTACAATGATTCTACTTGATATTTTTTCTTTTTTTTTCAGGTAAAAGACTTTTTAATTTTATTTCATCAATTTATTCAAATTTACTATATATAAAATATATTCTATACATATTAAAAGTACTATATATAATGTTTACAAAAATAATGTTTGCATGCTTTATATCTTTTATGTATAACTTATTAAATATAACTTAATATTTAGGATTAGGTTTCTTATCATTATTTATTAGCTTTTCTTTTTCCATCATACGTTTTTAAATTCCATTTGTTTTTCCATTTGTTTTCTTTTTCTCTCCATTCGTTGTCTCTCTTTTGCAGATAATTCTATAAAGAATTACAAGATAATAAGTACTTAAAATATATATTAGAATTTATTTAAAAAAACAAAATAATTAGTAATAATATTTTTCATTATATTAGTTGTGATGAATTTACTCTTTTACATTCAGAGCGTAGATTTTCTAGAATTCTATGAGAAAAGTATGTATTTTCATATAATATAAAATACTTTTCTTTATGTATCTAATAATATTTACTTTATACTTTTTATATTTAGTGCATCATAATTTTATATATATAAAGTTTCAAAATATAATAAAATCAAAATCTAAATCTAGTATGTTTAATTTGAATTAAATATCAAGAAAATGTTACTACATATACACATAATTAAATAGATCCATGTCTTGTAATGTCAATATCCAAACAGTATAATTTTAAAAATAATTAATAATTAATTTAATTTAATGACTTTGATCAATATTAAACACATTTATATGTTACCTTGTTCCTGTTCAGTAATATTTGTTTTATCGTTTTGTATTGTTACTAAGTTGTCCTTATCTTCATCCAAATCTTCAAAGATTTCTAGAGAACTGTTAATTATTGGTGATGATAGTTTAGTGGCAGTTGTTTCCTCTTTCACAATTTGAACAGGACCTAGATTTAATTACTTAAGTTGAATATATGTATGTACTATATTTCACGTACAATTATATTACTTGATCATTAACAAACCTTTATTTTTATTTGATTCAGCATTTTTACGCTCTAATATTGTTGTAGGTTCTTGAATTGGAACATTTGATTTCTTTTCCATGTGTTTATTAACTGATGATTGTATCGCATTTTTCTGTATGTCACCAGTTTGTTCAAGATTAATTTGCTTTTGTAATTGTAATTCTTTTTCAATTTTGTCTCCAAATGACAACAAAACTCTCCTTAAGCCATTTACAGCAGAACCCTGTGAAATTAAAATTAAAATTTCTATAATTTTTCAGTTAAATATAATGTAATTGTATTATTTAATTAAATGATATATACAATTCTTGCATTGTGTATTGACAAGCCTTTTGTAGATTCTTCTGCACTATAATAACCAACATCTTCATGAAAGGTTCCATTCTCCAGTTGAACTTTAACGAAACTAACACATCCAACGCTGCATTTGGCACCAATAGCTTCAACATAATCTGTAATAAATTTGAACTTATGTTTATATGCATTTGATAAGAGAGAAAAACTGCTTACGCACTTATAGAAATATATTTTTCAAAATTAACTAATGTACCTAAAGTCTGTTGAGCAACAGAATGGTTCCATTTTCCTTCTCCAAAAATCTTATTAGCTGTTGAAATTAAATTACGATGATCTGCTGTAAAATCTATTGATTCCATTTTTTCAGATTTCTTTGTTGTAGCTTGTTTTGTGGGAGGCTGAGGAATAGAAATTTTGTACATTTTAATTATTTCTGCACACACAAACAAAAAATCAATTATTATACCAATAAAACCCAAAACTGTAATCAGCTTAGATGGAGATTACTCACAATTTTGATACATGATAAAAAATCATTTCCGTTGTTGTACATACTGCCTGCTAAGAAATTCGCGCCAAAAGAATTTGCGTCCTTAAAACGCAAATTTTAGCGCGCGAATAAAATTGAAAGGAAATGACAGAAAAACGTAGAATAAGGGAAAACAGACCAATCACAGTTAATTATCGGGAAATCTCATCACGTCATCATTTTAAAAACTTAAAGACCTTCTTCTTCTTATTATTAATTCTTTTTGACCCAGTCGCAAGTGCGACTTTCGGCCATCAGCGGGTTATATATATTTTGAAAAGATATTAGGACCAGAACGGAACACAAAGAAAAAAATTTTTTCAGACGTCTGAACGCGTCAAAGGACGCCAACAAACTTCTTGTTCATATAAATCCAGATATGACACTTGATAAGAAAAATCAATCAACCACGTATTTAATTAATTTAAAAATGCAACAAATGACATACTTTATATTAGATATTTTAATTGATTAATCTCTTTTATCCAAGTTTGTAAACAAATGATTTGCAGTGTAGATGTGTGTTTTGAAAGTACTTCAAAGTACAGTTGATTGACCAATCAGAACAAAATGAGTAAAGATTCCTTTGTCCTGATTGGTTGGAACATTTGTAACTTTCAAAATAGACTTCTATATATTTTGTATGTCTATGGTCTTTTAATTCATAATAAACGTGACGTAAACTATAGATTTCCAGCATCGAAGCTTTTATTATATCTTTTTTTAAATGTATTCAAAATGTAAATAAGAAAAGGAGTTGAGATTATAATGATATTATACATAATGTTGTTTATAATCTAATATTTAGAGATTGCAGCATTTAGTAATTATATGTGATTTGTCCACGGAACATTCTAAAAACAAGGATTAAAATTAATAAAATTTCAGTGAGTTTTTACATAATGTTATTTTAAAAAATATGAAAAATTTCAATGATATTTTTATAATTTTTAAATATATTTTATTCGACATTTATGTCTTTTTTTTATTTTATTACAAATATTATATAGATGAGATTTTTCTATATGTACATATATATATCAAAATTTAAATTCGATAAATTATATCTATTTTTATATCACCCATTGGCAGATAAAAACGTCATGCAATCACTTTTAGCAAGCGAGCTGTTTCAAAAGTATGACGTGTGCGAATAATGCGACTTGTTTTATCATCGCGTAAACAACATATTTATTCAATAAAACTTATCGAATATCATATTCGTAGGTCGACTCTCGCGATCATTGATTGAACACAAGTGAAAGCATTCTCGTAGCTCGAAGATTCAAGAAAGCGTCTAATGTCGATTAACGCAGAAGGCAACCCCTGACATCTCAATTAATATAAACGATTACGAGGATGGAATATTTGCGATAGCTTATTCTCTGTGACACATTGACAGCATCCTCGTATCGCTCGACCAAACATGAAATTCAATGACAAGGAGCTCGCAGAAGTGAGTTTTGGGCCCCCCGATTTCGAGGGACGTCTAAATCACAAACGTGCTCACAAGTCAGGTTAGTTTAGTGTGAATATAATTAAATACTTTTTATACAGTGCACAACACACAATGAATCAACTTAATCTCGCGATCAATCGCCTCTGTTACCCCGTCATCTGATACAATCGTTCAATGTCGAGAGAGACAAATAATTTTTTTCACTCACTGTATATATTTCTTGACTATTATCAAGAAGATAAATTTTATTGCGTTTTTACAATTCTCTACTTCCGATTTGCATTTCTGACTTATACAGAGAATTGTTTCAAATATTGTCACATTATTTCACTTCTGCGGCATAATTATAATGAATTTTAAAGAACCAAAACTATTTTAAATTCTAAAAATTGTCTAAAGAATTTTTATTAATTATTTGAAAATAATTGTACTATTTCTGAAATACTTGACCAAATTTAGAAAGTAGTTTCTTGTATGAAAACAAAAGAAAACAATTTATATATCTCATCAGAAAATTTATTATTTTATATAACTAGTTAGATAATTACTTTTTTTTCTATTAAACTTTGATAGCTTTCTGTACAAAAAATTCATTATGTGAATTGTAAAATAGATGTATAAATACTTAAATAATTATAGCAAGATTACATATATTTTTATAACATGTAATTCATATTTCCAGTGTTTAAAGAAAAATGGTTCAAGCTGCGGTACAATCTACTATTTTACTTCAATCTTAATGATTTAGGACAAATTGATGGGAGGCAACCTGCTGGTGTCATTATTCTAGAAAATTGCAGCATTAACATAGACACTTCCACTGAAGGAGTATTTGCATTTAGTATTTCGTTTCGTGATGAACATGAAAAACGACATGTATTGAGTGGTCGATCAGAGTCTCAAGTGGAACAATGGATTAAGGCACTTAAGCAAGCAAGCTATGAATATTGGAGATCTCGCTTGATTATGCTTCAAGAAAGATTGTGCAAAAAAACTGGTAAAGATCCATTGCTTATGTATCCTAGAAATCAAGGTGTTGTGCGAGACGAAGCTTGGGAACCTGCTTCTAGCTTCAGATCTCATGTACGTTCATTCACAACATCAGTTGCATCATCATCTACATTGAATACAATAGCACGAGATGTTAATCTCATAGAACTTTAATACAGGGAAATAATTGTAATTAAATTTGTTGAAATAATTTAATTGATAGCTTTTTGAAATTTATATTTTAGAAAAATCTGCATAAATGAAATAATTTCATACAAATTTAGTTTTGGTTTACAATATTGTCACTGCCATTTAAGCAAATTTTGACATGTAGTTTCAAGAAATATAAAGCTTTAATTATTTATATATGTAATTTATATCAAATCAGATAAAATATAAAATAAGAAAATATAATTATACAAATTAAATGTGCATTGTATATAACAACTATTTTATTTAATATATAATATTAAAACTGTTGATGTTTGCAAAAAGGATTAAAAGTTACTATTGATGCAAAAGAATTAATTTCTCTTTAACACAAAAATACAATATTAAAAAAAACAAAGGAAAGACTAATAAATTAAAATAATAAAAATTTAAGTAATAATCATTGTGTAATTTTGTAATATGGAAAATATGCAAAATATAATATATACTTGTATTAGTCTACAACAATATTGTAAAGCAAATTATGTAATGTATATCTAGTAATACTTATAATTGAATATTCTTATATTGTGCAAGTGTGCGTATGTGTGTTCATCTGTGTGTGTTGTGTATTGCGAAAGATGATGCAGTATAGATATAATTTTTAGGAAATTGTGATTATTCATTTATTACTCATTATTTTCTACCTCTGTACAAATTTGATAAAGTATTCAAAAATATCAAATATTCACTTCTATTTATAATAAATTTATGTAATAATAAGTAATAATATGTAGTATAATTGATGTTGATTGGAAAATAATTTTTTAAAATAAAATATTTTTATAATCTTTATATTATTCTTCTCATTATCATATTAAAATAGAAAACTTTATCAAATGTTATTCACAGTTAGATGATAAAATATATATCTGTATATTAAATATTATTTATTGCTTATGCTTTTTAGGGCCGATTTTTCCAACTTCTCGATAAGTTTTACTCGACAAGTAGCATCTTTTTTAGAACTTATCTAAAAGAGACGAAAATATACTACCTGTCAGGTAAAACTTATCGAGAAGTTGGAAAAATCGGCCCTTATAAGATATAAGTTCAAGTAATTCCTTTGTTATATTAATTTTATAAAAGTTCCCTTTCATTATATAGACTCTGGTAAAAATAATACAGAAAAAGATATGAAATTATTTGATATAATATAAATTTGACTTCATTATATTTATTAATTTATAAGAAAAGATGCAAGATAAAAAGATAACATTTTATCATATTTTTTACTTAAAAATGATGAAAAAGATGAACGATTAAATAAAAGCAACAGAGGTTAAAATATTCATGTTTTGAGAATTTCGAAAGATAATTTTTTAATTATCTAAGGGCCGGTTGTTCCAACTCTTGATAAATTTTACCCGCCAAGTAGCATATTGTTTCTTTTTTTTTAGAACTTATCTGAAAAGACGAAAATATGCTACCTATCAGATAAAACTTAGCGAGAAGTTGGAAAAATCAACCCTAAAGGACACACTTTGAAAAGGAATTACACTAAATTTTGACTGGGCAAATGTAAATATCTTACTTTTTCAAATTATGTTATTCGAATATCGAGAAATTGGCCACTGAATTTAAACTCGCAACTTACTTCACTTCGATTTATCTCTAGTCGAACGAAGTGCGACGATAACTTTGAAAATTTTTCAACGAGTTCAGAAGACGTATATACATGACAGATGACACATGCTATCTTTTATCAAAAGTTTTTATCGGATAACGAAATATTTAAGTTATCCTTAAAAAATGGATACCGAGTACAAATTCCTGAGAGAAATCGACTGCAAGCAGGAAGCTGTCAGATCCGTACGATTCAGCGGTAAGGAATCGGTTGAAGTTGCTAATAATGTATTTATATGAATCTTTTATACGCTTTTGACACGTAATTTTCTGTTTTAGTTGACGGTTCTTATTGCGTAACGTGCGGATCGGATAGAAAGTTGAAGTTATGGAATCCGTACAAGCCCGTAACATTAAAAACGTATGGTGGTCATGGCGACGAGGTTATGGATGCCTGTGCGTCCTGTGATAGCAGCCAAATTGTGTCCTGTGGTCTGGATAAATCTGTAATCGTCTGGGATGTGTCAACTGGTGTTCCTGTACGCCGTTTCAGAGGTCATGCAGGTCCAGTTACGACAGTGAGGTAGATATCTTGTCATCAAACTAATCATAGTATTCATTTTGTGCTAGTATTTTCTTCTAGTATGAAACTGACTGAGCTAAGTTTTAATATATATCTTATTACCATTATAGATTCAACGAGGAATCATCGATGGTTGTCTCTGGTTCTCGTGATAACAGTGTTATGTGTTGGGATGTACGTTCCAAAGCGCAAGAAGCAGTACAATCATTGAACGATGCTAAGGATTCTATATCGAGTGTAAGAGTTTCTGATCATGAAATCTTATCTGGTTCTTTTGATGGTAAAGTACGTACCTATGATATACGTGTAGGACAACTGTGTGCAGATTATATGGGAGGTAAGTGACGACAAAATAATGTAAGCAGATTTTGAATTTTATTGATTTTATTAATTACAATATAAAAATTCAAATTTTTACAATTTAGATGCAATTACATGCGCCAGTTTCACCAGAGATGGCCAGTGTTTAGTTGTTAGCTGCGCAGATGATGTAATTAGATTGATCGATAAAGATTCAGGAGAACAACTCGGTGAATTTAGAGGTCATATTGGAAAAGATCTTTGTCTAGAATCGAGTGTAGATTGCCAAGATACAAAAATTCTTTCGGGCTCAGCGGATGGAAAGTTATGGGTTTGGGATCTTGTATCTCAGAAAGTGGTCGCAAAACTCTCAGGATTTAAACCAACTAAGTATGCTACTGTATCTATAAGTGTTCATCCACAAAAGAATTGCTTTTTAGCCTCTAATGGATTTAATATATTAATGTGGAGTACTTCGTCTCATACAGATGATGAATAATATTAAAATTAGTGTGAAGATAATGAAGTCAACATTATAACAAATTATAAATTTTGAAAACTTACATCATATATAAGTTGCATTTTATACATCATATGTGTGTATACTTTTGTATTAGTATTCAAATTTTATTGTTATTCATCACCTGCATGAGATCTTTATAATGGTACAATTATTTCTAAAGATTTTTATAAACTTTATTGCAAAGTAAAATACAAATATTGCAATAAGTGATTTAACTTTAAAAAGACTGTCCATACTATTAATAGAATTGTCTTTTAATATTATTTAATCATTCATATTTGCTTGATTTCATGTTTTCAATAATTCTTATAACAATTAATCCCAGATTTCTTTTTTATAAATGATTTAGTCTGTATTTTTTTATTCATCAATTCGATTATTAGATATAAAAAAGTTTGAAACAGAGAATATAACATTGTCACAATAGTATATTATATAGTGTAATATATGATACTCTATTGTAAAAGGTCAATTCTTACAATACATTTTTATAAAAAACAATAATGTACACGTTTAGAGATCTAAACATTGACATTTGTAAGAGGTAAACAAATGGAAATTTCATTTGATTAATTTGAGAAAAAAATTTAATATTTAAATGCAAATATATATATATATATATACATATGTAAACGCGCGCATGCGCATTTATGCGAGCAAGATTTGACGCTGACGTTTCTGATTTATAATTGTGAGCTAGGAAGCAGGAAGACATCAGGATACGTGCCTATTTGGCAATACATGCTCGGCGAGGTTCGCACGCGTGCGATACGCGTGAATTTGCGACTTTTGTGAGCATCGTACGTCGTAGGTCGACGCGACGAGGAGAGCACGCCGGCTCGTAAGGTAGAGAGCGAGCGAGAACGAGGGAAACCTGCGCGCGCAGGTGGCGCGATGTCGGTGCGTCAACGTACGGCGTGTCCCACTGGTCGGCGCAGTCTCGCCCGGGGAGCGCGAGAGAGAGGAGACAATGGCCGGATGAATGAGGCAGAGAGAAACGGTAGAGAGCGCGAAAGAAACCGGCTGAATCACAGTAGTGGATTGAAGATCGCGAAGAGAACAAACTGATTTTCTGTCGCTGGTAAAAATTTCAAACTTTCAAATAGCAAAATTCAAAGATTTTCTGTTCCAACAATTGAGAAAAGTAAGAAGTATAAAGTAAGTTCTCCCGCTTTTTCAAGAGTTTTACGATAAGCTTTCAAGTCCTAACTATATCTATGCAAAGCACTAGCAAAATCAAGGTTTTGAGGTATTAAAATAAATATATTCATTCAAATATATGAATAGCACACAGGCGCGATAGATATATTTTATATGCTTGTTGACATAGTTTTTCTTTTCTGCATATCTGTTAGGAAATGAAGTTTCGTATCAATTCTATATTTATAATTCTTACTTTGAAAACGCTGAAACGTCACTTTACGTTTGACCTAATTTTTCCCAATAAATGCTTAAATTTTAAAGCTCGCTCCGAGGCCCGTGAGCGTCTCGCGCCATATAATCCGCCACTGCCAAATCGACGTAGCCGTGCAAGAGAGACAGGGAAGAGAGGGAGCAGGACAGATATACCTCGTGAGACCCGCAGAGGTGGTCGCATACGGGGCGGGCCGGTCAGTCTCGCCACTTCGCGGAATACTTTTTTTTGTCACGCGGTTTCTGCGACCGCAAAAGGGAGAGTGAGTGACAGAAGGAGCAGGCACGAGGATTGCCGGAAAAGGACGGGGTGGACGAGAGAAAGAGAGAGAGAAATAGCTAGTTGTCAGACCTCGCAAACCTCGAGCACCTATGTAGATCGAGGCACTGCTCGACCGCGTGCTCTCTTGCGAGGTTCCAGCAGTGACCATCTCTCGTCCGACAGCGGTGTATATTGTTGTTGTTGTTGATCGATATTCACGAGAGAAAGGGAGACGGAGAGCGACAGCCAGAGCAAGAGCGAGAGAGGGAGAGAGCCGGCAAGAGGGCGAGAGAAGAAACTGTCCGTACCGAGAGGTTGGCAACGGTGGTGGCGGCTGCTGCACACTGGGTGGTGGTGGTGCGCCCTGACACAGTAGTGGAACGAAGGCAGGAAGGACACGACCGTGAGAAGAAAGAGGGTTGTTATGGGGCGAGATTCCCGTGGCGTGCTGCTAATCGTCGCGCTGGCCGCGCTGGCAGTCGCGGACGCCTTCTCCATTGACAGTAAGTCCTTCTTATTCCCGAGCTGGCGAGAGACGTATTTTCGGAGCACAACGATGACGGTGGTTGAATGAGGATGGGGTGGGCGAGGGGAGGACAGGGGGAGGAGTGGCGGGCAAGAGCTGGTCCTGGCTCATACACCCAGCATCCGCTCTGCTCGTTCTTCGCGGACCCGTCGTCTCCCGCGGATTTTTCGTCGTTATTTTTTTCTTCTCGCGCATCGCGACAATCTTGGACGAATCTTTTCAGTCATGATTTCCTGCGCTTTGAATTCTTTATCCCGCTGTCCTCCCCTTTGCCTGAAATTGCGTGTTCGATATGAGAAGAATTTGAGCCTTGTCCAAGATGACGAGTGTGTTATATAGATTTGAAGAGCATCGATGCGCTCTCGTGAACAGAATTATTTATTCCGCGTTAGATATTGCGAAGATGTAATTGGTTTATTTACGATCGTTGTCGAGAACACGCCGCTATAATTAACTGTCAACGTCATTCAACTTTTATTGTTTAACTCTTGTGCGACAGAGGCATTAGATACGCAAACAGTACTCGATATAATCATATTAGATAACGAAGAAGATCATCCTCGAGGTGAAATTTCTGAAAAAAATATACGCCTTCGAGGACGCGGAGAGGGTTTCATGGCGGCCGTTCTCACCCTGAGTTTATCTCCGAAATTCTCGTTGTGTCTGATAATATGCTATAACATTTTATAATCACGCTAGAATTACACACTATAATATTTATATATATATATATATATATATATATATATATACATATATATATCATATATTTATTTATATATTTATATATATGTATAATTATATAATATATATATATATATATATATATATATAATTATACATATATATAATATATTTTATATACACGGAGAGAATTTTCTCTTAGAATTTACCCTGAAAATCACGGCGTCATTACAAATAAAAAATATTAATATCTATCACAATAAGATATAAAATATGTTTGATTAATTTTACTTTTATTGTACCTATTAATATTTTTATTGTGATAAATATTTAATTAGAGAAACTCATAAAATTCTCTGTGTATTATATATTTGCTTTTCAGATTAATGATGTTGAAACAGATTTAAACTATCCTGAAGAATATATATATATACAATTGTTTAGATTTAAACTATCCTGAAGAATATACAATTGACCCGCATGTTTTTGTGCGGGCGAGGATATTCAAGCGAGCGAAGCGCGTCGATATCTTCACGTGTTCTCGTCCTGTCACGACGCGGCTCGCTCGCAACATCCCTCTCTGGATTCCGGACCGCGGATATGACGAGTCCCCTCGGCGAAGACGTTCGATTCGACAGTCGGCGCGAAGATGTATCTACATTATATAAGTAGACGCGCAACGTCGTCCCGTTTTGTCAATGATCGCGCACACTGCTCGCTGCTTTTCATTGTCTCTATCTACGTACATTTCTGCCTCGCCGAGGTCGGGTTGTATAATAATATATACACCCAGATGGGATATTAGCGCTATTAAGTGAAAATGAAGAGAAAGGGATGGCCAGTTATTTAATATCATTTTATGATTTCTGCGATAAGGAGTTTTACAGAGCGTTAAATACTCTTGTTAAATAGAGTAAGCAAATAACAGTTATGATAAAATCAACAAAAATAGTTGAACAAATTTTTATTTTTGTCAGAAACGGGACGATTTTAGTTTTCTCGTATATAATGTGTAAATAAGAGATTATCTTCCTATATTTTTAGTACTTATATTTGGTATATAAATTATTTCATGTATTTACCAATTTAATTTCATTTTTTGGTAAACTCGTAGGATTTGAGCATTCGTGTTTCTATTTAACATAGATTGATTAAATAATGTATTAAATGGAGATCAAAGTAAAAATCTAGAATAATTTAGAATCTATTAGAATATATAAATCATAATTTTGAATATAATCATTCAAAGAAAATCTTAAAAAGAAAAAAAATCTTTGTGAAACGTCTTTATCTTATAATTCTCACGGAAAAAATTAGTCATTATAGTTAAATTTTAGCTATATTACAATCTAAAATTTAGTTATAATGGCTATTTTTTTTCCGTGCCAATTATAAGATAAAAACGTTTCACAAAGATTTTATTTGAATGACTATATTCAAAAAATTATGATTTATATATTCTAATATATTCTCAAATATGATTTTTACTTTAATCTCCATTTAATACATTATTAATCGATCTATTTAAATAAAAACATGGTAGCTAATATTTTGTAGCTATAATTTATTTTATAATTTAACAGATTCGAGAATTCTATAGCTAAAAAGTATTAGTTATTATAACTAAAATTCAGGCATGATGACTAAATTTCATACAGGGACAGTTAAAATTCAGCTATAGTAATTAATTTTTTCTCATGTTTGCATTTTTTATACGTATTCAAAAAGATTTAAATCGAAAAAGTCTAAGATATCGAGTGACTAAATTATTCTGTTAGATACGTTTTTGAATGGATTTAAAGAATCCGCGAAATCTGTGTTATGACAATGAGCAAAATATTTATGTACCAAATAAAAAGATAATGTTTTGTTTACATATTGTACACAGTTAATAGAGACAAGAGCAAATTATTCGTGTTGTAAAAAAAAGAGACAAAAAATACTTGTAATTTTAAACGAAGTCAAATTTTCCATTTAAACGCTGATTGAGATTTCCGATTCATCACTTAAGCTTTGAAAATTCGAACCAGAGACGAAGAGTGATTTCAAACAAGAAAATTTGTCAACATCAAAATTATACTGCTTTCTTGCTTGCGTTACGTGAAAGTTTGTTTTGATTACATTTGTTTCATCACAGACACACATAGGACAAACTACCGGAGGGGATTTGGCGCGCGTTCGCTATATAAATATGTACATTTTCGAGTGCAGGGAGAGAGAAAGAGAAAGAAAATCGAAATGCGTGCTCATTAGGCGCAAATATATAAGGGTTGCAATTAACGTAATGATTCTTCCGGCATAATCCAAGCATTATCACGGAGCCGCGACATAGAGAACTCGTTGTGCGTGATCAGATATTTATTTCGCCGCTCCGATTTCCGACTTTTGCTAGCTTCTACATCTATTAGTATCTTATGATAATTTTATCGAGGAATTCACGGAACCGCGGAAATAGCCGCGGCGCACGTCCGCGTAATAAATCCGCATCGACAATTCCCGACGGGGGTTGTCGAGCTGTTTCGCGAAACGTACGTGAATTTACAGAAACTTCGATCGGGGATCGTGTGTATTTAGTTTAGATTACCGTCTCGCGTACGCCATTTATCTTACGTCCATTCTCGACAACATCGTCGCAAGCTGGTATCTTTAGCAGGAGATTTCTAGTATACTCGATCGTCGAGTAAACTTTTTTTGAGACAATTATTTTGAAAAATAACATGAATTATGCTTTGCTGCAAAAAAATATTTTTCCTCTAATATGATCAAAGCTAAGCATGAACTAAATGTAAAGTTCGTAGCAATAAAATCATATTTGTAATGTTGTAAAAAAAAGGAGATCGTAACATATTTTTTCCTCGATCATTGAGTGAAATATTTTTTGAGACAATTATTTTGAAAAATAATATGAATTATGCTCTGCTGCAAAAACATGTTTTTCCTCTAATATGATCAAAGCTAAGCATGAACTAAACGTAAAGTTGTTGCAATAAAATCATAACATTTGTAATTTGTAAAAGAAACCGTAACATATTTTTTTTATTATACTCGATCGTTGAGTGAATATTTTTCGAGACAATTATTTTGAGAAATAAAATTAATTATGCTCTGGCCGCATAAAATGTTTTTTCTTTTATAAAGAGACTGAATATGATCGAAGTTATATGATAAAAATATCAAAAAAGCTAAACTAAGCATGAAATAAACGTAAAACTGCAATAATATAACAGTAAATCTCAACATTTGTAATTTTGTAAAAAGAAATCCGTAGCATATTGCGTGATAATACTTTAATAATGTGCGAATCGATATCGTATATATTTTCAGAGAAAATTGTTGCGATTTCTTTATTCATTTTTTGTTCACTTATCCGTGCATATTAACTATCTATCGCTATTGTCGCCGACAAGAATTGCGAAGTAACCTTGTCGGTCAGTTAACATAAATGAGCTACGAGATTACATTTGATTTTATCATTATTGCACTTAAACGATTCTCATATCTCATAGACGTGCATCTTCTAGTGGCGAATCATTCTAATTATAAACCGCACACAAATCTTGGCATTCTCATTTAAATCTAACTTATACGATGCATAAATTTAAGTTCGCGACGTATAAAGATACAAAATAGTAGAGAATTTGGATAGTAAGAAAAAAAATTTTTTTTTAAATTGCATATCAAACTATATATTAGAAATTGCTCGATCTGCTTAAATGCCATCTTTTACATTTTTTTTGTTTATTTTATGATTTATTGAGTTTTTTTCTTTTTTTTTCAGTAAACTTTTTCTTTGGTTCTCAGGTAAATTAGCCTGTCCTTTGAGGCAGTTCCGGTGCGCCAATGGCAGATGCATTCCAATCTCGTGGGTCTGTGATAAAGCGGACGACTGTACCGACAATTCCGACGAGAGCCCGGAGGAGTGCAAATGTAAGTCACGTGTAGAATTATGCGAAATACGATCGAATTGACGTCGACGCGGTCCGTATACGATCGAACGTAAATTTGCGCAATCCTTTGACGCGTCAAATTCGTGTATGAGAGCCGAAACACAAACATCATTTTACATAACAAATATTGGCGCTGCGTAAACGAATGGAGCACTGCTTTTCGGTGCGAGAATTTTGTAAATTTCTATCATTTTTATCACTAATAATACGCATTTTAATTGATTTTATATTTTAGATTTAAATTCTACATTATTTTAAATGAACACCGCGTACGAGAGATTGTAGTTTTACTTTGCACAAATTACGGAGAGATAATAATAATAATCATGCAATGGAAGATGGAATTTCGCGGTCGGATAAAATAGAAATGCAATTGTTCCTTTTTGCAAGATTTTTTTGGGGGAAAATGTTTGTGCCACGAAAAAGTGGCACGGTGTCACGGATTTATACGTCGAAACGCACTTTGCTCGACGGATCGTTAAATATTTATGAGTCGCATCTCGTTAATACAATTATGCACTCGTGACAGGGTCGATATCGACGGAAGTATTATTGCATGCGCAATTGCGTACGCGTGTGAGAATACGAGACGAAGCTATGATAAGACATTCCGGAAATAATTCGCGCTATTATATATTTTACACGCATATATTAACGCGCGGAAGCGCGTGTGTATTCTCATTGCAAATATATATTTCCTTCCGTTTGCGCGCGCGTTCGTTAATTAAATGAAGCGATCTGTTGACAAACAAGTCGTCGGCCTGTTTAATTCTCGCGAATTTTATTGATTTCGAATGTAAAATGTTCCTGTGGCTGCACGAGAAGAGAGAAATCTAATTTTCGCAGCTGCGATTTTAAAGCTTTGACCAATCTCGATTCGACCGATCGCACACTTTGGGATTTCATTTACGAGACTTCATGCGTCAATCGATCCCGATTGACGTATAGCTATCGTTTAATAACCATAATAATATGATTACGCACGAGTTAGGGGTGGCATAATCTGCGCACTTGGCCAAATGCTTATTTGCTCATTTACATTTGGAACTTTTGCTTTCTGATATTTTTGTTTTTGGCTCTTACAAATTCTAGATATAGCGAATAAGAAGTGGAAAATTTCATTTCCTCCTTTCGCGCTATATCGACTTTTGATTTGTGCTAAAGAGGAAATGTAGTAATTAACGATGTCGGATCATCAAAAATAAGTATGATGGTAAAAATACAATGATAATCTTATCAGCACATTTATTGCATTCATCTCTTATTTTTTTCTATAAATGATTAATAATCTACATGACATTGCACTCTTTTTACGACCGTATTTTTTACACGCAGATATATGCAATTATGAATAAATATGTCCCTCTTCGTGTAATTGTTACATTAATCTGAAAATTGTTTGCATCTTCATTGACCTACTATTCTTTGACGCAATATATTTAAGTACTTATTGATTTATTGAAACTCGGTTAAGAGCTAAAAATCACAATAGTCTTATATAATTTTCGATCCTTTTGAATGAGAAATTATTTTGAATCTCGTGAATATATTTATCTCTCGACAGTAATAGTCTCAACTTTGCTTAATAAATCATTCGGGAAACTTTTGCAATATGTTTAGCAACACGAGAAAATATTATGAGGAAGACGGAATATTACTATGTGCAATATCCAAGCTATTGTTGAATCCTATATATAATGTATATCTCTGTATTACGGTAAGAATGAAAAGATTATTATACAGATATCGTAGCTTTGTCAACAGTAATTGATTTGAGTTTGCATCGTAAATGTTTGCACGATCAATATATGAACCTCTAGTCTGGAAGCCAAACTAATCGATCAACTTTTTATAAATTCTTAATTTTAGTACCGGGACACATTAATCATACATTCTAGTATTCTGAAACTGAGAAATTTACAAAATGTTGAATTGAATCAGTTTGCTTTCGTAAAGGCTCTTATATAAAAAGCAATAGTACTATAAGAAAATGAAAAGTTTGCGATTAATACTTAGTAATTTTTGCCTTTTTTGAGCACTTTAAGTCTAGAGGTAAATCTTATAATGAGAGGAAAAAACGAGAACAAGAAACGATAATCATCAATAATTTAATAAATTATAAGTCCGTCTCCTAGAATTTTGCGCGACAAAAACTCACCGTCCTTCTTCAAGTATAGTTATAGTTTTTTTAATCAAGCACATGAGAACTGGCGCCAAGCAAGACGTAGCCTCTCGTTGATCTTGCATCAGACCGAGTGATCTAATTTGATTTCTTTTATATTAGAGAACAGGAACTGCGGTGCGCGTGCTTGGTGCACTTATCCTGTCTCATTTGTCTATTAACTCACTTAATTATTCGATCAAAGAACGATCTAGATAATCTTGATTGAGAAGTAAAAGCTATCGAACTTGGTAAAATATATATTAATGATGACGTGAAAAAGAGGCGTCGCGGACAATATTCTATTGTTAAACCGTATATCGTTCAAAACTGAAAGAATTTTTTTATTTACAACGCCGAGATATTGATTGCTTTTGAGTTGCAAATTTTTAATTAAGAATATTGCTTTACTTGTTAGCGAGTGTATCTGTTATCGACCGGCCTGTATTGAAAAAAATCGACATTCTATCTCGCGCTATTTGTATAATTTTTCTACTTTATTTCCTTGATTATATTTCGAAATTAATCTCATCACACAGTTGTATATTCTGTTCTCCGTAATGGACTTTCGCAAAGTTCTGCATTTTTCCCGTAGATTTCCTACATTTATATAAATTGATTACGCGAGCTACAAGAGGGCAAATAAACAAGCAGCTAAATAAGTAACTAAATAGATAAACTGCGGCAGGATGGTGCAACGACGTGAAATAATAAGATAGAGAGAAGGCAAAGGAAAAGGAGAGGATCGCGGGGGAAAGAGTGCTATCTAACGAGCGAAAAGGAGCAATAAGAACGAACGAGGCTGCCAAACGAACCGAACCGACTTTGCCCTTTGTCGTTTCTCGGAATATTCGCAGGGTTTGCATCTTGCAAACGATCACGCAAATTCCGCACCAATTCAAGTCGACTCCTCGTCTTTTCTTTTCAGCCGGTTTTTATTCTCGCGTGTCGTCTCGCTGTTTCACTCCGAGATCTCGAATTCCACTTATGATTAGACGCGATTCCTCCCTCGCTCGTCTAAATGTTTCATCTCATCAATTTCGAACTTCCTTTCCGCGAACGTCAGTTTAATACTTCAATGCGCTATTTCCTCCGTATATACGATTCAATTTTATTCATTAATTATGAATCGCGAACGATTCATTATACATTTTAATAGAGAGCTGGAGTGGAACATTTTTTACCAGCTAATAGAACATTTTATGGACAATTAATATCCGAATTGGTAAAAGCATCGAATCGATCGATAAATATAATAATAATCCATCGACGAGAGGCGTAAAGCTAACGATCTACAAACATTCGAATGCACTTAAGCGAGATGAATTATACAGGCTCATTATTAATGACATTGATTTCTCGACCTTGGTGAAAATGATGCCTTCACTTGGACACGTTAGACTCAGGCGATGTTGCATCAGGCCCTCGAATTTATTTCCCTTCTTTCCGTCCTGTGCCTCTTTTTGCATCGGGCGCATTCGCCCAGGATTCGCCAGGGTTCTTCCTTCATCGACGTGCATCCATTCGTTTAGGATCGCTGCATTTTGTAGCGCAAGGCCCGCCTCGGTTGCATCAGTCGACAAGGAGAGCCGATTCGGTTGCGCGGCGACTACCGACGCACCATATAATTATGGTGAAAGCCAGTCACGACATGGTATATGTAGGATCGCATGATTTGCTCTCGAATGTCGACCCGCGATATCGCGATATAGGATACGCACCGAGGTGGACCGAAATATCTTATCTGATCTTATATGACAATATGGTATTTAAAAAATTTGATAAAGAGTTTCTCTGATTCATATTTTTACAATAAAAAATACTTAACATATAAAATATGTTTGATTAATTTTACTCTTATTTTATTTATTAATATTTTTTATTGTGATAAATTAATCAGAGAAACTCTTACGTAATTCTTCCATTAAATTCTAAGAGAAAATTCTCTCCGTGTATTAATAATAATAGATAAAGAATTTTAAAAGATTGGTCATTTTTTTACATTTACTGAAAAAAATTTGTTAACTTGATTGAATCGTTCAACTAAATATATTATTTTGTTAATTGAATATATAAAAATATTTAAATTAAATATAACATTTTAAATCTAACATATATAGTTGACCAAAATACTGATATATGTTCTATTGACAAAATAGTAATTGAAAGGTTTAGTCAAATTAATAATTTTTTCAGTATTGAAATACAGTTGTTTATTCGCAAGAATAGACTCAGAACTCTGAAAAAAGGATTAGCATAAAAAGAAAAGAGTTATCTCTTTCTGCAGAAATTGAGAAAAGCTTTGCAATGTCTGTGTATACTTATCGTGGGAATCTTCGAACTTTATCCTATGTCTTCATATTTAGATACCAACTGGTGCTTAACAACTTTTAACCCAATTGAAATCAATCGACTAGTCTGCGTCACTGAAAAAGTGCTAGCAAAATATCGCGACAATCATTAGTCATTGTTCAGTGTCATCGCAAGTGAATCCATTTTCATTACGGCATTAGCAAATATATTTTGTAATTAAATATTGTAGAATTAAAATTCGAACTTTTATTATTATGAATACATTTCTTTAATTGTATTATACGATACGTTAAATAACTCTTTTGAAATCATTAAATAGTAATTTAAAATACATTCAAATATTCATGTTATATCGCACAAATTTATTTATAAAATTTATATAAATCAGCATATATTTGTATATACAATGGCAACAAAATAATAGAAAAGCTTTAATCAATTGTCTATTGCAAAGCTTCAATCTTATTGTTAGTTAAACTTATTGAAATATTGAACGTATTGAATAT